ATTTTTAATTTTTAAGGTTCCAGACTGAAACCTCTGTCGCTCGACTTTGAATCTGTTATAATCCGTGCTACAGACCCTTTTTTATCGAATTATTAACATCCCCCTGGAACTTCATAAATAGTTTCATCTCATCGTAACCTACAACTATTTTATTTAAGAAAAGTCTTGGAATTGGTGCGTATTCAATCTGGAGGCTGGGAAACTTGTTCTATTTAATTAGGTAGTAAAAACTCGTAAATACTCATTTGCTTTCTACTTGGATCGTAAGATGATTCGATCACAAAATCGAAAAAAAATGTGGCTTACAAAAATATTGGTCGTTTGTCATATATAACATCGATATTTTGAAAATTTGGGGGTGTAGATCACGCCAAATATTTCTGAAAGCTACCCTTTTTTATCAAATTATCTTACAATCCAAGTAGAAAGCAAATGAGTATTTACGAGTTTTTACTACCTAATTAAATAGAACAAGCTTGCTCCCCACCAGATTGAATACGCCCCAATTCCAAGAGTTTTAGTAAATAAAATAGCTGTAGGTTACGATGAGATGAAACTATTTAAGAAGTTTCAGGCGGATGTTAATAATTCGATAAAAAGGGGCCTGTACCACGGAATATTAGTTCTGTAAAGTATACGTGCTTTATGTTAATATTAGATAAATATGGCCTTTTTTTTTTTTAATTTTGGAATACAGATTCGCTTAAATATTTCGTTATCGTTTCATGATATATTTTTACGTTTTTATCTACTGCATTATATTTTTCATTAAAAATAAATAACATAAAATACTTCTTATACCTTTTGATGCCTCTATAACAACTTCAAGTCTTATAATCGATTAGTTAAATATAAAAGAAAGTGTATCATAAAAAAAGACCTTCCTCTCGCTAGCTTGGGAATGGTTACGCGAACAATGTATACATGACGCAATCCACAGCGTGAATAATTTCCTTCTTCCCTCATATTCTGAGAAAATAATAAACTGATTATGCTTTTGTATTAAAATGAAATTTTGTTTTAAAGATTAACACTTCCTGCTCATAAATCGACATATTTCTTAAATAAATAATTGCCGTTTAAGCTTCGACTTAACAATGACTTGGCAAATCTGCTAGGTAACTCCAGCTTTCTATCGTAGGCCACTTTCGTAACACAACTGGTTATGTGTCTACGTATGATGACAATTACAGACTCTAATTATCAAGTGTACAGAATTCATATTGCTTCGAAATAAACTACTAAATCTATTTCGCTTCTCCTTGACAAAAACTCTCGTAATGAAACATTGCGTAAACATTTAGCAATTTACCAAAATAAAAAAAAAATATTTGAAACCTTCCTTTTTATGGAATAGTTGTTCATCATTTAAATTTGTTTTTAAAACCTGTACCACTAACAATTCATAAAGGGTTATATGGGTTCAGGACAATGTGAGGAACTACTGTTACAAGTCCAATCGTTGTGCAGGGAGGTGGCGGGCCTATATCACGCTCAACCGCCAGATTTCTCCCCTTAATTAATTATTTAATTAAGAGTACCCACTTTATAGAGGCTGGGTTTGCCCCAGGAGGGTCTCCCGGCCACTGGGTCGAGCCACGGTTGATGAAAAATTACTAGTCATCAGCCGGATTCGAACCTGAGATCTTGAGCTCTGGAAGTCAGTGCTCACCCACTGAGCTACATCATTTAAATATTGATGTTAAATTTGAAGAAAATGGAACAAAGGATTGGTCGTTATCATAGACTTAGACTTTCCATTCAGGTTTGGTGGCGATGAACCCCTCTCCTCAAAAAAAAAAAAAGTCTCGGGAGTTTATATTACACATAAAAAATATGACTGATACTTAATATAATCGTTGCAAAACGAACAATATAATACTACATAAAAAATAAATTTATATATGTGGTAATATATTCCTTTTTATTTTCTTTTTCTGTGGGTATATTTGAAAAAATGTTAGCAAATCATTCAAATATATCAAGTATTTTAAGGTTTGAGGCAGTGAGATGAACTCTTAATGCTCCGATGTAAATATGGCGCGGGAAATCTGATAAAATCTTCCCGTAAAAATGGAAGGATGCACATAAGTGAATCATAAAATCGTAGAATATGATGCTACATAAAATTATTTCTTAATATAAACTAAAATTTAATAATAAGAGCATAGGGCGCAGAAAAACATTGGGCCCCTACTTCAAAGCTTTAGCTTAGCCTAGTCGACATTTCTTTTTTGATTTTAGTTTACATATTTTATTTATTCATGTATATTAATTATTATTGATTTTGATATATTTTTTTCTTCGAAATATTGGGAGAGCGAAATGATATTCCCGTTTCCTCTCTATGTTTATAAGACGAGGGGGGCGATCGTCCTCCTCATCCCCCCAAAGTTTACGCCCATGTTCGTTTTGGCAAATCAAATAATTTTTAGATCATAAGGAACCAATGATACAGCCGCCATCTTGGATGAAAATATATACACACAGATCGTCTTTCATGATATTAAAAAATATTTGGGCTAAATTTTAAGACATTTTTGCATACAATCGCTTAACAAATCGACACACAGAAGAAAAAATAATCGAGTCGAAACAGGACTTCAAGTTTTGTTTAGTCAAACATAGTGTAATTGTTTTTATACATATAATAAATAAATAAATAAATATAGTTTTTTCAAACAGTAACTAAAGGACTGTTCTGTCAGACAAACAGGTGCTAATATTTACCTGCATACAATTTCGTCGACTCTCAATAACACTGTCAGAGACAAATATAAAAATTCGATTTATCGAGGTTTGAAACCTAAAATAACCAACTTTAAGTTTAAAAGTCCCAAGTTCATTGAACTAATTTACATTCCTAATCGAGTAATAAACTACTACCAAGAAATGCAGAGTATTAAATGAAAACGTTCTCATACAGAATTAAATTTAAATAATTATCTATGCACCTACTTTATATGTACATATAGTAGATTCTTAAAAAAACAACATTCTTTTTAATCTTTGGAGCCATCTTTTTAAAGCACAGATCTTTCATGATTTGATGTTTGTTCCAATTTCACAAATTTTTCTCATAAAATAGACTTGCATAAGAAATGTTTCTTCCACCATTGCTTCAACCATTTAAGAATACATTCATCCCCAAGAAAATCGGATCCTCTGGTTCTCTTAAAATAGTTAGCCAACCCACTCCGCACCGTCATATTGATCCTTGTTTGTCAAAAAGATATATAAGAGAAATTTCACTTTTTTCCTTGATTATTGCATCTACTGAACTCCTGCTTTACCTCTGCAGACAGTGTCCTATAATTATTTTTTATTTATTTTTTTTTTTTTTATTGATGATATTTACAACTGTATTACAAGTAAAAATACATTCAGTAAATGTGAACAAAGGAATAAAATAGCATGAAATCACATGTTGAGAAACTACCCATTGGTACCACTCTAAAAATGTATTTACAAAAGGAGATCTCGAGGCCATCTTCATTTCAGACGCCTCTGAGGGTTGTCAGGGATCGAAGAGGAAGCAAGGTTAGAAACGAGAGGGTTTGGATGGTTCTGAAGTTTGTTATGGAAGGATAGGTATCTGGATTGGGCCAGGTCAGAAACATAAGGAACATTAAGGTAATTATGGATGATTTTGTTAGTGACAAAGTAAGGAGCAGTGAAGATTTTACGAAGGATTTTGGATTGTAAGGATTGGATACGAGAGGGATTCGATGGCTTAGCGGAGCCCCAGAGCTCAACTCCGTAAGTCCAAATAGGTCTTATTAGTCATGTATATGAGTCTTTTGTTATTGACTGGGAGGTTAGAGCGTTTGTCTAGTAAGTGCTGGAGTAGTCGGAAACGTCGAGCTGTTTCTTGTCGTTTCAGTCTGGTATGAGGATTCCAAGTTAGACGTTTGTCTAAGTGGAGTCCAAGGTATCGAATTTGTTCAACAGGGATAAGTGGGGTATTATTAAAGGATACTGTATGTCCTATAATTAAGCAAAGGAAATGAAGAGAATAAACCAGAAAAGACTAATATGTGTTCAAAACATGAAGAAATATACGTAAACGAAATAGAAAGAGAGAGGGAGATAAGAAAAAAAAAAGGAACGTGTTCTCAGGTCTCGTAGTTGTGATAGAAGAGGAGAGAGGGAGTTCTTCTTATGAGGCTCTGGCTAAGTAAGTATTCGTGAAGTTGGAGTTGTAAAGGTTTCTACACACCTAAAACACCGAAAGTTTGTACGTTCAGGTTTATATTTTGACGTAATCTTTTTATGTTTTTAACTTTTATTGTTTTTCATGCTTTGTAAAACCCATTATAAACGGAAAATATTGTAAAGTTTATTTATATTTAAATGATATGTAATGGTATGTAAATTTGTAAAACCATATTATTGTACAATAGCCAAGCTAGGTTCTATTTGTATGGGGAACCCCTCAAAAACGAATAAAATATCTATCTATCTATCTATCTATTTTGACGTAATCTACTTATAGAGGTGACAATTGGGGTAAACATAATAAAGTAGAAAATCAGTGGAATAAATAAAGAGAAAACTATATTGTATTTCTAAAAAAGTTTAATTAACGAGTAATACAGCTTCTTGATCTACTGTTTTAACGTGTTAAATTATGATTTTTTAAAAATTTAATTATTTAGAAATATAATCATCTGACAATAATTATAGTGATATATGAACACATTCACACCATATTTACAGAAAATATAAAAGTAACAAAAGTAAAAGAATAATAAAAAACTATGTACAATAAAAAATAACCTAAAAATTAGGATTAGACCCAGCTAATGCGAGATTACCAATCAACAATAATTAAAAATAATTTTATGATATATCAATTTGTCACTAAAATCGGAACAATATCAACATAATTTTATAGTTCCAAGTCATACTAAAATATTGTTAACATTTAATTCAATTATTTTATATTAAATTTTGGATTATTCTTATTTTATTTCATAGATCTTAATTATTATTAACAGAAAAAAGAAATGTGTTCCAATAATCAAATACTGGCTTGCCAAGCCATTTGTACATTAAATGAGCTAGTCCATCATCCGGAATTGGCAGTGGAAGCAACAAGAATCAAGATAATACCAAGGTGATTAATTAATACTTCCTATGTATTGAAGGAATTAATTATGTATATATTTTTTTTCAATTCTTTATTGAGAAATATTACAATCTGTCACATCTAAGAACAATAGTAATAGTGACAGAAGAGTAGCTCATACACACAATGTACAATACATAAAAAAAAAAAATAAACTAGCAAATTAATAATACATAGCAAACTAATAATGGTTTTGCAACGATGCTGTCCTTTTTTTTATAAGCCTTTCAATATTTCAAAGCCCAATCTGACAGTTGAAACCACGAGGTCCATGGAGCAAGAATCTACCCCTCTCCCACCACCCAAGATATTTTATTGCTCACCATTTCTTAGAAATAGAGCAAGTTAAGGTATAATTAAAAAAATCGTATATCGTATACAATTCTACTTGCTGCAGCCTGTTCCATGCTTCCATTTGTTCCTTAGTCCGAAAATTCATAACCCTGTCGAAATTAGCTCCCCTAAAAAATTCAAACACCCGTAAAAATATGCCGCCCTCAAAAAATTTGATGGCGTAATTTTTCACCGCTGCTTCAGATATACCCTTTTACAACCAACCGATTTCTTTCGGATATTGATGTTCATTATTAGATCTTTGAAGGAGCTTTTAATGAAAATATAATCGATTTTTAGATATCACCATTGCGCTTTATTATAACTTTTCCAATTTCTTCAGGATAGATCCACTATTGTATTAAGTGTTTATATTGCGATCTTTATATTGGAAGTATTTTTAAAACCTACGCTTCCATTAACCGAATGGTTAGTCTCGAAGAGCTCCAATATGTTGGAATAAATCGAAGCGTGGTCGAGTTATCTCAAAATATTCACTTTACTCTATTATTAATTTGAGTAACCTATATATGAAATGTATAGTTATGGAAAGTATTGCGATCGTGAAAATTATCAATCCAAGTTTTCAACGGAAATTCACGTTTTGAGGTCCCTTGAGTACATATAACCAAGTCTCGCAAAGTATTCTGTCAGTGTATTAATAACAGTCTTGCTCAAAAACGAAAAGTCGTACGAAAATGAAATTAAATATTTAAGGTGTGTATATTGACTTTTTCTTCAAAATGATTGGCTGATCACAAGCTAGATGCTGTGTCATTCTGTTATAAATAGTGCTACTAGGATACGTCCGTCAGATTTTTGGAAATCTCCAATTTTATCATTGTTTTCAGTAAATCTTCTCTGTTTATACTGTCATACGCTTGTATAAAATCTATAAAAGTGTGATGTAAGTCTATTTGGTACTAGCATATTTTCTTTTCTTTCTTTCTTGTTTTTTTCTTGTTCTTCCCTACCTCGCCTTTTAGGCTATACGGGATTTTCCCGGGCCGGAGGGTGAGGGCGGGGAATTGGAAATCCCCTCCGACACCGGGACGCGAACTCGTACTTTTTTCTTAATCTCATAACTTCGGTTATCTGGTTACCGGGCAACTCGCGGTGCTGTGCACAGACTCGTTAGCCCATTCGCCCACCCCGCCCTCCAAAAAATTAGAATTTCGTTTCCTTTTAATTTAATAATATTTTTAAAATCCCTCTATATTTGTAAATATCTTATTTATTCTTTTAAACGTTGAGAGCCCGTGGAGTCAACTTGTGTTTGTCGTAAGGCGTGACAATGAAGACGTTACCCTTAATATTTTAGAGCGTGGTGCTTATGAAAATCGACTAGGACTCTAAAGTAATTCAAATCTTGTAGAGGAGTATCATGTGTCCATCCAGTGTGATAATTATTCTACCATATATGTTTTTTCGTTGTTTTTTTTTTTTATGTTCTTCCCTACCTCGCTTTATAGGCTATATTGGCGTAATAATCTCGCAATTTATCGTCCTAAAACTCCTACTCTACTCTACCCTATGTTTGATTTACCTAATATAAAACCACAATGGTATTTACCTTCAATCTTTTCGGATCGAAACTAAACTTTGTTTTAACAGAACTGCAAAAACTTTGCATAAGGTGTTTGACAATGATATACCTCTACAATAGTAGCATTTTGTTTTTCCACCTTATTTAAAAACAGGGCACATGATAGCAGTAATCCATTCTTTAGACATCAGTTCTGTATTCCAGAGCTCCATCATTAAGTTGTATATTTATTTGAGTATAGGTTCACCGCAATTCTTTATCATTTCTGCATCTATATTATCCAGCCCAGGACTTCTTTTTACTATTGGTGCTAATTAATTGCTTTAAACCATATATTGTCAAATCTGTAATTTTTACTTTCCTTCCCTTTGTCTGAAAAACCTATTTCTGCTAAAAGTAGGGTGGCGAGTGAAAGTTTTTAAAAATGCACTGATACCCCTCTTTGGTGAGATTCATCAAATGTACTATAATAAATACTGATGTAGCAAAGATTTCATGCAGAAAGATTATTTTAGTGCGTATACAGTTATACTGTATAACTTCTAAGTCATCTCTAAGTTATAACTCTAAAATAGTTAATAGCTATTGGTTAAAATAAAAAATTATTATGGCTATAATGGTCACCGATTTCAATAAAAAATTTGCTTATGTTAATATGTCAGCAGATATTAGTTTCCTCATTAAAGAGTTCTTTCTTGCCATCTAGTCGAAAAAAATCTTTTTTTTTGACAATTGTTCATATTACTGTTAAAAAACTCATGAATTTCAAGGTTATATGGCACTCGATTTATGTTATTATAAAGAATAAAAGAAAAATATTACTATTAAAAGAGTTCAGATGTATAGGAAATTACAAAATCGCCTCTAGCAAACTAGATCAAGTAAATTTTCGTTAAGAAAAATAAAAGCCAGATTAGCTTCCTTTAAAATAAAAATGTAAGCTCGTAAATACATTTTTTTATCAAAATTAAAAAAAAAAATTCTCACGCCGTCCACCACTATAGCATTACGTTTACCCCGTTACTATAACCGTTGGAAATCTAAATTACTGCTTTTTCAACCCATTATTGTTTGTTTTCAGTTCTCAAGGCGCATTGGCAAGAGCCATCAGACACATGTCTAATATTTTTCGAACTGGTATTACCAGAAAAATGTTTCCAATTACCACTATTTTAAATGTTAAGGTTGTACCATTCAGAAGCTAATAAATTGGATCTATTTTTTTTTCTAGATTTGTGAAACCATTGTCATCAGACAACTTAATTACGATGCAAAGAAGTTTACTGTGTTTAAAGCACCTGAGTATGCAACCAATGGGGATAGCCAGCATTTTAGAAAACAGTGGGATTGTTCTAAGAATAAGAGATTGCATCAGGCACCCAACATCTCCAATCATCAGATGCCAAGCTGCAATTACAGTCAATGCTTTAGTCCATAATTACTTTGGTAATAATTGCACCAGTATAGCTAGATTGTTAATTCTTAGTTCTATCAATACTGTAAAATTTAATCAGAATGAGTAGTAGATAAACCGTCCTTCGTACGCTTTAACAAAGCACTGTTCACGACATTACCTGAGAAGTGGGATATTATTAAAGGATACTAAAGGACAGGAAGACATAGGTTTACGACGAAGAGTAAAGGTAAATTTATGAGATTTATTGGAATTTATTTTTATTCTCCAGTTTTTACATCATTATTCCAGACTTGTGATGTGTGATTGAGAAGTTTGGGATGAAATTGTTGGGTCGTTGTTAACTGATTGGACGCATGTGTCATCGGCATAGGTTGTAATACCAGTGTTGGGATGGGTTAGGGTGTCAGCTGTATAAACTTTGTAAAGGATAGGACCTATGATAGTACCTTGAGGAACACCAGTAGAATGGGAAAAAACGGCATTGTTATGATTTACTTAGAAGAATCTATCAGTGAGATATGAACGGATTATGAGTGTCACATACGGCCTGCAAACGTTTTTGCGCTATATTTATTAATCTAGCGCTATAATTAATTAGTATTTAAGTTACGAAAATTAATAAAATTAAGATGGATATGCTCCTCTGTGTATTTAGCGGTAAATAAAAATAGCAACAGTAAAATATAAAGAATCATTGCGGGCTCCATTAGCATTTTCTAACCTTACTGCAGTTCTAATGATAGAACATGCTAAATGCTGCTTTGCTTGACAGTATTCTAAAGCAAATGTAACTCCGTATAGAAAATCCCAGGCTGCTATTCATATGTAGCATATCCAATCTATTTGTATTTGTTTTCTCCGGCTTTCTAATAGATACAGTTTACTGTCTAACCTGAATAGATCGCTAAACGCTGTGGAAGGAAGTAGTAACCTTAAAAACCTCTTTCTAAATTCAATAGATCAGCCGATTTGGAGTGTCCACTACAATTACGACCGGCCACTCAAACTTATTCTATCAGCTCTCTATTGTCTGAGCTACCCTGTAGAACTCCTGATTCAAACACAAGATACTGATGTTAGCACGAACAGTGGTAATACTGATAAGCCAACACGGTTAGTTTTAAGCAGTAAGATTATTTTTTTAAATGTTCATTATGTATACATTCACACTTTTGCTTGTAAATAAACTATTTCTTGTTTTTATTAAAACTGATGTGCTCCATTGACTTCCTCAAAATCTATACCCCTAGGTATGCAAAAGTACAAAACAGCACACTAGCGGATCAGGATTTAATTTTGGGGGGAGGGGCTTCAGCCCGAAAGATTTTTTTTCGTCATATACATATAACGATAATTAATTTGAAAAAAAAGAAAGAAATTAACTACCTATATGAAATGGTGTTTAAGTGGTTCCTGAAGTCCTATTAAATGCAATTACAGGAACAAGAATATTTTAAGAGATAGTTTTTAATATTTTTTTCTGTAAAACATGGTTATATTTTACCATTTTGAGGGAGGCTTCAGCCCGAAAGCCCCCCCCCCCGTAGATCCGCCTGTGCAACAGCATAGCATCCACAATTCAATGGCCGCATTCAAGGATGGCATTGGAAACTTAAATCTGCTATTTCATCAGACATAAACAGTTTAAATTAGTAACAAATTCAGCCAACGAACTACTAGGCTAACAAGCCAATATAGAGCATTGCACTTCTACTACAATATATCATAAGCCATTGATGGTTATCCTTTCCGACGATAAACCGCATTTCTCGAAGAAAATGCTAACAGAAATGATCGCAATACGGACGGCTCTTCAAGAACTTATAAAACACCTTTTCAGTCTAATATTTGCTTAAAAACTCAAGTCACCTGGGAAATCCATCGTCCACGAAGAACTTCACAAAGACATATTCATGGCCTTTGGCGCCACCTTATTCGGAATCAAATAATATTTTTTGTCGAAAAGAAAACTAATATTTTGTACTATTCCTAGGGGCCCAGATACCTTATCTCATGAAAGATAGAAGCATGACAGCTAGCCCTGTTTCTCCAGCAAGATCTAGAACGAATTATCCTCTGTTTGTCTTTCCTGGAAATGTTCAACCAATAAAATGGTTACCTTGCTCTTCATATGTGGTTTCACACAAATGATCACCCTGTCTTAACCTCCAAATTGTAGAGTGACTCTTATTTGGAAACTCATTGGTTTTAACTTTCTCTTATTTCCTTTGAGCAAAGTTATGGTGGTAAGGATTTTAACAGGTGAAGTATGTTTTACTGCCAATTCAGACTGGCTCAAACTATCAGATCTTAAGTATTCAATAAGTAGGACCTCTGAGTTTTCTTTCTTAATTAAATTGAATCACCTGATATTATTACTTATTAAATTTTATTTACAGCTGTGCATACCTTAACGAAATATGGATATGTCAAAACTATAATGAAATGTGTCAATGAAACAAAAGATTTTAACTTGCTTGAGCCCATTGTGTATTCTTCTCTTATTGAAATGAAACAGCTTATGGTATATTTTTTAAAAATTAATAATAGTGGGATTATAAGTTAAATAATTAAAATTTTGGTGTTTGGTATTTTAAATATTCGATGTCGTATTTGAATCTTAATTCAAATTATTCACTCATTGAATCATAACAGGCCCTCCTCCCCTCCCTCCACATTATATGAAGGAAATGAAGCAGAAACAAGGGTGGTTCAAGCAACATACGGAATAAGCGTACACACCAAGCACCAAGGTTTTAAACTATCTCATTTAAAAAAATTGAAAGAGTTCAAAAAAGTCTTCATTTAATAATTAGCCTTATAAAAAAATAAAATGCTAAATTTATGGCCTCTTATTTACGTTTCTTTATATGAGCTGAATGTTATAAAAGCGTGGATAATCCTACCAGTAAACAATCAATTCAAGTGGGAATAGGAAGACCGAGATTTCTTCCATGTGTCTCCCACAAATGATTTTCAATACCACAGCCTCACTTTTTATAAAGTCTAAGAATATTTATTTTTGGGAAAGGAGGTAATTATTAGGACATATGGGGCCCCAACTTTCTCAAGCTTAAACCTGATATTTATTTTTGTAAAATTGGATATGCTCAGTGCGAGTTGGCGTCCTGGCGCAGAGGCTTTTAACTAAGGCATTAATCTCCTGGCCAGGGAAATTAATATTAGAAGAATGTGAGAAGAAAAAATTAAAATTTTACAATAATTATATAAAAAATAATATTACATAGATGATAGCACAATGATATAAATACTTTGACTTGAAAATGGACAAAATTACCAGAAATGTTATCGAAAAAATTAAAATGAATTGAAGCATGGAGCTGAGGTGTGAGGACTAAATAAAGTTATTTTCCTGGAAATTATAAAATTGTATTAACTATAAATGCCGTTGAAAATTTGGAAGATTTAATTAATTATTCCATTATTGACCCATATTTATTCTTTTCACAGTACCTTATAGTTTGATTATAAAAACGTTACTTTTTTCAGGTAAATCATCTGGACTCTCTTTTGAGATTACTAGATGACGGAGATAGTGCCAAAGTAGCTCTAATGTCTGAAGGAGTATTTAATCTTTCCTGCTTCTTGACTGGTGAATGCGTTAGACTTAAAAAAGCTGTAGCAAGCTTATTTGTCGAAATAGCCAAACATCCGATTGGGAAGACTGGAATCGTATCACATGGGTTGATTCCTTTATTATGCAAAGAAATGGCCACAGCACATGTATCTTATTCTTGAAAACTAATTAATTTTATTTAAATTGTAAATCTAATCTGACTTCATCATTACCAATATTTTTATAGGACAAAGGAATAAAATCAAAACTGACATCTGTTTTGCAGTTTGCAACAATACATAAAGAGGGGAGAAAGCAGGCTCTTGAATGTGGTTTGATTGAAACATTAGTTAAACTTCTTCCCTTAAGTAATGTGTCTTTAGATTTGAAAAAATATGTAATCAATACTCTTACAAATCTGGCTGAATTACCAGAAGGGAGAAAGAGTCTGAGAAATATGTTGGGCGATGCAAATGTAACCATACTTATTCATTTTGAACATGATGCTAGCATAATAAGAAGTATCAAGAACCTTTATAATGTTATTAACTGGGAGCCATAGAAGAAAACAACTATAAAAAAAATAATAATAATAAAAATTTAATCATTTATTTCTTTGATGATTATGAAAATATAAAAAGAAATTTGAAATCAATGAATGAATCTAATTGATAAAACATTCTAACAGATTGTTGTACATAAAAGGTAGTTACTCGCAGACTGTTGTAACTATGTAAACATGTTTCTCATGGCGCTACTAGAAAATATTTTTAATGTCATTGAAACATATATCATCTTCTTGATCTATTTTATTAAAAAAAAGAGGCGACAGGATACAATGTCTTCCACTTTCCCAATACTTTGTTGCAGTGCTTTACTTCAAAATTATTTTCCTTATATATTTACAATATTAGACCAATTTTATCTCACATCAGCAAACATTTTCTGTTTTAGGTGTTCTACTCTCTCAATCTCTAATATTCCACAATTTAGCTCTCAATCATTATCATAAACCCCTCGCTCTAAACTATATATATTTAAAGAACCTATTATATATTATAAAAAATATATCAATCTTGCCTATTTTATATAGAATATAGTGTGCAGAAGAGAAAAATATAGCTTTTTCAATAATATCGACTATCGATAGTCATCCTTGAGTAGAGTTGAATAGCGCATGGGGCCCTTCTCAATCAGTATACTCAATTTGCCCAAATTTATTAATTAGAACCTTCTCAAACTAAGGCCAGGAATTTTCAAAGAAATTTATGTAGGATGCACTTAAATTAGCATTTCGCTGAATCTGATCTATGGGTGAATGGAAGGCATAATTAGTTAAACGGAAATTTCTGGAAAAAAGCTGAGGATGACAAAGATGGACAGGAACTAGAAAATTAATTTCCATAAGGAGAATAGAAGAATTTTATATTTCTATTAATTAATTCAAAGAGGAAAATAACATTATTTTTTATGAAACTTTCTGCTAGAGAATCAATATTTATACTGACATTCGTATTTAAAAAATATTTATATTGATGAAAATATTGACGATCGATATTTCGTCTGATATTTTGATAGTTATAAGCCGATATTAATATCGATAATTCATTCCTATTCTAAATGTTTATTTTTCTATACACCCAAAGAAAATTACAATTTAATATTAATCAGTTTACCCGGGGAGAACTAGTAGAGAGCTAACTTCTCTCTCATGCATTCGACATATAAAAGACATCAGCAAAACAGGTTTATTTGTATACACATATGAATATTATCGTGTGGGCGGGGTGGCCGAAAAGGCTAACGTGTGTGCACAGCACTGCCGTTGCCCAGCAACCTGATGTATGAGACAATTAATATAAAATAGTCACTAGTTCGTGTCCCACTGCCGGGGGTCTTCAAGATCCCCGTCCACATCCCCTGGCCCGGGAAAACTCTGTGTAGCCTTAAAGGTGAGGACCGAAAAAAAAAAAAAAATGAATATTATCAAGGTGGTCTAGTCAATGTACACAATTAGTGAAACTTCATTCTTCACCAAGACTGTTGAAATAATAATTTACTTAATGAGTTCACTGCTCAATATTTCTCCACTTTTATAGTTGGCAAGACAAAGCAATTCCTGAATTTATACTAATCCATTAATGTACTCGCTCAAGACCTCTTTGTTAGGTACAAAAGAGGTTTTTGTAGTTCTCTCACTTACTTAGAGGATAGTAGTCTAATACAAAAGGTATGCATGCCATCTGGATATGTTTTTATTTATTAAAAGTACCAAAATGTTTCTTTTTATGTTATCCAAAATATCTAATGGATCATAGAGCTATTCTCTTCTATTTACCTTTTCAATAGATTTTTTATTCCTTAAAGAGGATCCTAAAAAGCAATATTTTAATTTTTAAAACCTCAACATGTGATAAATATCCCATGCCAATCATATAGCACCTAAGGGCTCTAAAACACAGAAGGAAAGTAGAAGTGTCTGTTTCCTATCCTAGAAAGGTAAGATTTACAGTTTTTTGTCCAGCACATGTAATACTTACTAGAGCATACCAACCGTACATTCTTCATTAAATTCTAAAAAGTGTCATTTACTTTCTTAGGCAAAAGACTAAATTAATTGAAATCTTTGAGGAATCATTAAGATGGGAATGATTTACAGCAGTTATTGTTTTCATTTAAAACCTAGATAAGCCAAAGTCTCATGGTTCTTGACCTTTATAGATGACATTTGGATAGCTCAAAGTATAGATAACTCAAATAAAAGTATCAGTCCCTTCAGATTTGAGTTTACATTGTATTTAAGATAACGCTTTTCCACACTTAATCTATTATAAAAATAAAAACTCAATAAAATATAGATTTATATTGTAACTTTTAACATATTATTTAGAATAATAAATATTCTAAAACATAATATTTAGAATAATTGTTACATATATAGACAATTATTATTCCTAACTTTAAATTAAAATGTGCTCACAATTATTTTTTATAATATTATAATATAAGAAATAATTAAGTTTCTAATATAAACAATGATAAATCACAGCTTGCCTCAAATAGTATAAAAATTCATCAGTCTTTACCATAGAGATGAACATCATCAAGATTTTTTGAATGTGGTTTATATTACTAATGATTCTTCAAAATGTATTATTATTTTCGTAAATAAATTTTTTTTGAAAAAACAATTCTGTCCTTTTCATAGAATTAATGACTTATTGACAAAAAATAGATGAGTCCATATTTAATATAGAACAGAATTTTTTATCACTAGGACATCAAATTTTTTTATTGTCAAAATAATGACGTCATTTTGAATAAACTCTAGTGATATATCACACAAACAGAAAACTTCAAAAATTGAATTTGATGTTTACTGAGGTCTGATAGATAAGTACATTTTATTTTTTATGGTTTGCTTAACAGGATTAATTCTTTTAAGTATTTGAGTCATGACATTGACGAGTTGTTCTGAAGTCAATCCTGTTTTGCGGCCTTTGAATTTCTGAAGTAGCTCTGTAGTCGTCATCGGTTTCCTCATCAAGTACCTCCTCACAGCTTCTTCAGTTATACCATTCTCACCACTAAGCAAACAAAAGTAAAATTATAAAAATATAACTAACACTTAAATGTTTCATAAACTAATTATTATAAGCTTTAGTAAATACAATAGACCCCATTTATTTGACTGATCATGATATCAAGATAACACTGGTTGAACAGGAGATCCAGTATATCTAGAGTGTATAAAAGAAAAACTTATTAAAAATCGATTATTCATAACATCTGTTTTGGGGAAACAATCATAAGTTTCTAAATTCTAAAATTTTTATCAGATAAAATTAAAGATTATGTATGTTTTATAACATTAATTAAACCATATAACATTAAACCATATATTATAATGGTTTTTAATATAAGAAGTTATAAAACAGCAAGTATTTAAAAGATCTAGACAGCATTAAATGAAAGTTCTATAACCTTTTGCATTTGTCTGGAACTGAACGAGTTCGTAATAGAATCCTTGTATTTGAATGAGATTAAAGGGTATTGTATGACATGCTAGGTTCGATGAACAGCATACCGTATACAATACTTTTGCTTATATGTATTGTATGCAAAATTATATTTCTAGAAATAAAGTCGAGGTTGGTTTAACATCTATAGCATTTCCAAGTCAATTTCAAACTTTTCGACTTTTAAATAAGTCAAAACGCAGTGGCATAATCTTAAAATTGAGGTAATTTTCAAAATCTACGGTTCCGGAAACATAAGAATACACCCTACTATCGAATACATCCGAAAAACTTAATAAATCTAAACGCAAGGGCATAATCTTAAAATGAAGGTCATTTTCAAAATCTACGGCTTAGAAAACATAAGAATACACCTTTATATCGAATAAATCCAAATAGGTTCAATAAATCGATATCCGAAAGTTTAACATAAAATTGATAGCATTTTGAAAAACTCTACTTAGAGAAGCATAATAATAGAACCCCATATTAGAAAATGGCCCTTATTTAGAAAAAAATTCGAAACTTTAATTTGAAATGGGAAAGGTTGAATTTGAATTGGAAAAAGTTTAATTTGAAACGGAAAAGGTTGAATTTGACTTGGAAAAAAAATTGAATATGACAAAGAAATATTATACCGAAAAAATATAAAAAGTAAAAATAAATGGATACACAAGTGTGTTATAACATTTTTTTTTTTTTTTTTTTTGATTTTTCTAAAGCTATATAAAGCCTTCGATGATATAAAGTGGCCTTTATTTAAAAAAAAAATTGAAAATTTACAAAAATTTGAAACTTGAATGTGAAAAGGAAAAGGTTGAATTTGATTTGTAAAAGCTTGAAAATGCTATATTTAAACTATGTTATTTATATTTATATGTTCAATTTAATTTTTTCAATTCAATTTTTTTTTTTTTTTTCTAAAGCTATATAAAGCCTTTGTTGATATAAAGTGGCCTTTATTTAAAAAAAAAAAATTGAAAATTTACAAAAATTCGAAACTTGAATTTGAAAAGGAAAAGGTTGAATTTGATTTGGAAAAGCTTGAAAATGCTATATTTAAACTATGTTATTTATATTTATATGTTCAATTTAACTTTGTTTACTTTATAGACAAATAAATTGCAATAATGTCTTTCATTATACTTTTATTAGTATATTCCTTAATAAAACTATGATTGGTTTTATATATATTTTTAAATAGTTATAGGTAACGAAAATGAAATACTAAAATGTTATGGTCATTTTTAAATTATCCTCATATTTCTTTATTTCAGTTACAGATTACCTAGTTTCAAACTTCAATGAAGTCATGATATGTTTTTTACCATAGTTTTAATAAAGATTGAAATATTGAAACCTATAAAAAATTAATTTTAAGTATTTAGGGTAAATATTAAATAATATAAGAGGAAGTTAATTTTACTTTTTTAATGTTTTTTAGTAAGTTATTCAATACTTACTAAAAATACATACACTTTCATATATACTTTTTTTTTTTAGCTTATTTCCTATTTAAAAAAAAAATGCATATTCCTTCTTGACCCATGAAATTATAAAAAAGAAATTTTGAAAGGTTTTAAAATATTTGACCTAAGTTAATAAGCAAAGCTCTGATCTAATTTAAATTAAAAAAAAAGTTGAGCACGTAATAGTTATACCACTTTTCAAGGAGTCTACAATACGAGAATTGTTTTGACAAACGGCAACACTGACGAGCAGTTTTCATAGTCAGTTCAGTTTAAAGTAGCAAGATTGCTAAGACAAGAGTTAGTTCAGTTGCTTTATCGCTTGCTTTAAGTCGTTGTGGAAACAATTTATCAGTGAGTTACAGGGGGAAGTTTTTTTATTTTTGTGTTATACAGCAATAAATAATAACATGAAAAATGAAGCATACCCATAAGAAAGCATAGGAGGCTGATGTTCCAATTTGGCCTTCTTTGCTGGAGACATTTCCGTTTTCTTATCAACTGGGCTAGGGCATCTTGAATTTGATGCACTGTAAATAATATATCAATCAATAATAAATAATTCATATTAATTAGAAAACATAAAGAGAAATACTGAAAAAGATAAATATCTATAAAATAAAAATAATTGAAGAACTATAATAATCCTTTTTAAATTTAACTTCCAAATATCAACCTATAATTTTCTCTTTTCCAAATTAAATTGTTTAATTAGAATTAGAAAATCAAAGTTAATTTTTAAAAAAATTAGACTATCCCCATATACAAAATTCTGTTAGTCACTCACTTTGAAATAAAAAATCAATTATATTTTTAAATCATATGGTTATACAGGGTTAAGTGGCCAAACTGCAAAAATGAACTAAGGACCTCAAAAAAAGAAAAATAATTCCTCTGAAGGTATGTCCGCAAACGCTTTGTTTACAAGGTATTCACACCCAAAGATTTTCGTTGTTATGAATTATTTACGCTATATGAAATACATAAAACCTATTTATTTGTTATAAGGTCAACGACCTTAACTCCTTACGAAGAAGGATAATTGAATCCTGCGAAACAATAACACATATCCAGTACCGCTCTGCCACTGCTGCTGTTGAAAAAAGATGCTGAGCCTGTCTTAATGCTCAAGGAAATCACTTTGAACAACATTTAATATGAATATTAATGTTTACATTTAATTAATAAAGTAGTTAGAACAAATAAATAGATTTTATTTATTTCATATAACGTAAATAATTTATAACGAAAATCTTTAGGTGTAAATATCTCCTAAACAAAGCATTTGCGGACATAACAGATGAAATGTTTGAGATCCTTAGTTTATTTTTTGCAGTTTGGCCACTTAATCCTGAAACATCCTGTATAAATCCCTCCCAACGTAGATCTATCCGTTAATGTAAACCTCTCCATATGGTCAATTCAAAAATGCCCCATGTTTGCAGACAAAAATATCTTCAGTAAAATATTTACTGATGTTATGATATCCTATTGGGAGCGGGGTAGCTCAGTGGTAGGTTCCAATGCAAAGGTCCCGAGTTCGAACCCCGGCTCATGGCAGAAAATTTATTTATCTGTTTCATTGGCCGTGGGGCGACCTTGGGTCAGAAAGTCTCTCCTGGGGCACACCCAGCCTCTATAAAGTGGGTACCTTTAATTAAATAATTAATTAAGGGGGAAAACCTGGCGGTTGAGCGTGATCTCGGTCAAATCACCTCCTTGCACAACCGTTGACCTAGAAACAGTGCTTTCCCTAAATAGTACTGAACCCCAGATCCTTCATGGGTTGTAGTGGTACAGGTTTTATGATATCCTATTGGCACATAACTACACAGGTTTGGCAAAGGAAAACAAACTGGTTAGCAAAAAAAAGGAATAAGAAATTAGGATTGAGACCTGAACCTCATCAAGCCAGTAATGATATTGTTTTAGTATTTTAGGTATTCAAAAACAAAAGCAATATTAGAAATGACAAAACTATACTAAAAAAAAAAATTAAAATTAAATATTAATGAATTTTTTAATGCTACAAACACTAAAAATATCCCATGTTCCAAGGTTTGAAATAGATAATTATTTTTTCACAAAAATCATAAAATAATTATTATTTTTGATTTTTAATTTGAAAATCATGCCTGATTTATAAATACAAATTGTAAATCAATCTTTGATGTTTACTGATTTGATTAACAATAATGATCATTCACTGAGTGATACAATTTTACATAAAAAAAAATGATTAAATTGTGATCAGAAAATATAAATCACCTTTTACACACATATTAAATTAAATATTAAAATATTAATATGTATGTATACGTTATTAATGTACACATTTTTTAATATTATATTTTTTAAATCGCCTTAATTGCTCATCAGTTTTTGCAAAGAAAAAAAATAAAATAAATATAAATATATAAAATAATATATATATATATATATATATATATATATATATATATATATATATATATATATATATGTATATATATATGTATGTATATATATATATAAATATCTTTTTCTTTGTAAGCCAACATTTCTAATAGATTTGGGAAATAAAGATATTCTGTTGCTAATAGTTGACAATATTTCCAGCTACTACTCCAGACTCAAAATATATCATAGAGATTACAAAAGAGATTCTGATTAAAAAAGTATTACTCAAGCATTATTATTATTGTTGTTAATTGTAAAAATTGTGTTAAAAAATAATGATCAGGATATGGTTATGAATTTTATCACTAATGATCATAAATAAAAATTGCTCTTAATAAAAATCATTTGATGATTTTTAAAAAATTCATATAAAAATTTTAATTATTGATTTCAAACCCTGCTATGTTCTGAAGTAAAGTCTATGTTCTCAACTACAGAAGAAGAATAAGAAATATAGGAGAAGTAAGATGAACTATGAAAGACGGAATAGCCATATCATTTTTTTTCTTCAAAATAATTATTAATTATTTATTTTGATCTTTTCTTGCATCTTGGCAACACAGATGTTTGGTAGGCGTAGCACGATACTTTATTACTTGTTCTCTGATTCTTTGCTCTACTTCATTACAGGCAGTTGAAATGATCAAGCCCCACTAATTCCTTCCATCCGTACATGGAAGCTTCATAGTATGGGTAGTTTTCCTTGTTACTTACTGTAATTAACCCTCTCTCTTCAGAATACATCAGAGTGCGGCTTGCAAAGCCTAAAGTTTCTCAATGCCTCCAATTTTTTGTGAAATAACCTCACCAAGACCTAAATCAGGTCCCTCAACTGTCAATCTGATTGGGAATTCAAGGTCATAGTGACCATAATAATAATAAATTAAAAAATTAAAACTTATAAATATCATAATGAAACAAACATTAAAATAAAATATTGAATTGCATTTATTACTCCATTATTACCACAATAAAATATACCATAAAGTTAGTGTTTAACCCTATGGAATAGAGAGGGTTCCATTTTATATGGATACTTAATAGTTGATACAGAGGAAATGTTGAGAGCCCCTGCTTTTAAGGTACAAAGTAAATAAAAAATTACCTGCTAGCATCTTTCTTTCCTTCAGTTACTTCTGAATCGGAACTGTCCCCACTTGAATCTGAAGAAGTTTCTAAACAAATACGAAATATAAATCATTATGAATCATTAGAAAGATATTGAATTATTAGGTGATAAATATTCAGGACGCAGTCATTATAAATTTTTACTTTCACTTACGTATATATGTAATATATAGTAAGTGTAAGTATTGCGATCGAGAAAATTTTTGAATCTGAGTTTTCAACGGAAATAGACGTTTTGAGGTACCCTGAGTCGAAATGACCAAGTCCCGAAAAATGGTCTGTGTGTTTGTATGTTAGCAGTCTAGCTCAAAAACGAAAAGTCCTACGAAACTGATATTACGTATTTAAGATTGGTATATGCCTTAGATGTGACGGCAACTTTTTCCTTAAAATCGACTAACCGGAAGTGCCACTTTATATCAACGCTAAAACACATTTTCACAATTCTCTCAAAAACGGCTCTAACGATTTTGATTAAACTAGGTGTATCATTGTATAATGAAGTGGTCTTTAATATCAATTAGGTCTTATCCCCATTTATGTCACTTTACAGGGCTTAAATGCCCAATGTTCATATATGTCTCCCTCTAAAGTACGTTAAATATGGTTTATTTTAAAAAGTTAATCATTTCACATTATTCAAAGTAATGATAAAATGCTAAATATAACTTTTGAAACAACATGCGTTGCTATAGATTGTAGCGCCTAAACGGATGTACCGATTTCAATGAAACTTCGCTAAAGTCATTTTCTCGACACCCTTTAAATTTATCTATATAACATACTTCAACGAAAAGAAGCTGGAAAAAAAGTTACGAGCGATGGTAAAATTAAATTTTGAATAACTCAAAAAGTATAAGAAATTTCCTAAAAAACCAAATAAAAAATCGTTAAGATCGGACAACTAGGAGGAAAGATATGGTTTTTTTTGGCGAAAATTTGGATAAATTTAAAATATACTATTTTAATTGTTGAGACTAAAAATACTTTTTTTCTGCAGATATTTAATGAAGTATCTTTCCTAAGAACGTTTTTCATAAGAAATAAGTACCTAAATTTATAACTTTATTTTCAGTTCTATATTTCAACACTGCAATCACCACCTCCGGAATCAACTTACTCATATTCTGCATAGATAATTTTTTCAACTAAAAATATCACTAAAATGACATCACTTAAAAATATTGAAGTTGGAGTTAGTCATTCTGAAGTTTATAAAAGCAAAGAAAGTTGTGTGGTTTATAAAAGCAGATGGAGTGACTAAATTTTTATTGCCTGTTGTCGATATATTAAATAGACATTTTGTAATTATAATGGTCTTAATGAATCGTTATCTGTAAGCTTTAAGCTTTAGCTCCGTTTAAAATGCACTTCAAAAAAATTTATTACAGCCCAGCATTGCCAGAAAATAATTTCTAGTCATAGTAGATCGGCTAGTGAAAGTTGTCTGTTGCGCGCACCAGATTTTGTTTTTATTTGTGCCAACATTTCAACCCAAACATGTGGGGTGTCATCAGGGCATGGTTCGAGCACTGATGATGACACATGTTTTGGTTGAAACGTTAGCACAAATTAAAAAAAAAGAAAAATTATAATGACTGCGTCCTGAATATTTTCCACCCATGATGTGTAGAACAGTCGACTAGCTTCCTTCTATACTGAATTATTATATCTATTTAATTTAATAAAGTGAATGAAACATAAGGTTAAACTACAACAATTTATCTAAAGTAAGGAATGAATAAGTAGGGCAATGAATCTTATCTTTAACTTTTCTAGGATCTCAAAGGATTTGTTATATTTAAATCTAAATCAGAATCTATTAAGGCTCATGAGAATTAATAATAGGGAGTATAAAAAAAAAGAAGACAATTTTATCAAATTCAAGATTTCAAACGACTTTAAATATTTTAATCCTATTTAATACTTACCACTCCCTTTAGGGCATTCTCTAAGCTTGTTTAATCCCATTCGACTTCTTCAATAAAAGCTTCAGTTTAGTTATATGTTTCAAAGTAGAAACATGACAGTGTCCTACGAAATTCTCGTAATTTTAAGGCATTACTGGAGAAAAAATTTCACAGCCGCTGAAGCAACTCTTGAAATTATTAAATATGAAGGGAAAGGTGTCCTTGACTAGTGCACATCTTGACAGCAAAAATTTAGCAAAGGAGATACGGCATTGGAAAGGAAGGGCTCCAGGCGACCATTAATGGATATTGATAAGGTTCTACAGGAAGCTGTTGAGTCAAATCCGTAAACAAGTACTCGTGAACTTGCCAGGGAGGGTGATGTATGTTAGTCGCCATCTACTCTACATGGGTAAGGTAAAAAAGAGCAGTAGACTGGTCCTTCACGAACTTAACTCCACATCAATCAGCTAAGAGGTTAGTAATTTATGAAAATTTATTGAGAACCCTTGCCGGAAAAACTCCTGCCTCATCCACCATATAGTCCAGATCTCACACCATTGGATTACTACTTATTTAGATCCATGGTCCATTTTCTTCAAGAGAAAAAATTTGATAATTTTGTGGAAGTTGAAATTGTGGTCCAAGAGTTCTTTGACAGCTATCCCAAAGAATGGTATCAGCGTGGAGTCAAGCAATTGGCTAATGATGGTAGATAACAATGGACTATACTTTGAGTATTAATTATATTTTATATCAAAGAAATAATAATACAAAAATTTGTTTGAAAAACGGTCATTTTTAGTAAACACCCTATTAATTATTTGAATAAAAAAGGCAAACTAGAAGAGAACCCTAAAGGAAAGAAATGAGCATGAAGCCATTAGAAGTACCTTTGATGAAAATAACACTGGAAAAATACAACTCAAATGCTTCGGGCATGTTTGCCATGGAAATGAATAACAATAATAAAAAATAATCCGTACCTCCATCTGCGGCTACTGCCTTCTTCTTTTCATTGGCTTTCTTCTTTCTTTTTCTTTTTTTACTGTCTTTTTCTTTCTGTTCTGCTTCTTTATTTTCCTTTTGACCTTCCTTCCCTTCTTCTTTTTTGTTTTCTTCATCCTCTTCGTCTTCGTCAGAGGTAAGTAAACGCCTGAGAGCACTTTCTTCGGCAACACCTTTCATTTCTTTATCTATCTTTCCTTCATGATCTAAATCGCTATAAAAAAAAATAATACTAGGATATAATATTTTATCAAAATTAGAGTTTTCATAGTATTATAAATTAGTGAGAGAAAAAAAATTAATAATTAAATCCTAACATATCAATAACTATCTTATCAATAAAACTAAGAATGATACACAAGTTATCACAAATAAAGTCACTAATCTGTCAGAAGATTACATTTTATAAAGTACTGTTCAATTTAATAACAAAGTATAGTTAAAAATAAACTGTACAATAAAAATTGATACTAATTTATAATTACAATAATTCACAAATAGGAGAACCATTGCTGATACTAATCAACATTATTATTGTTTTAAAAGTTGGTATTATTGTATGTGTGTTGAGCCATTTCAAAATTATAGGATATTTTGTGTCTCACAGCTATAGAGAAGGAAGCCTTTGTCGTAGGAACATTCCATTTTCTCAAGTGCCATAAATTTATGTGTCTCATAGACAAGCTATTGATTTGAAAGCCATGAGATAATTAATTTAATAATTTCAATCAGTTAATTAGCTGATTACTAAAGGAATGTCACAAGTTAGAAGTTACTAATTTCAGATAATTTTATAGCAAGTATTCACTTTTTCCATATTATCAAAATATATTAGTACTGGAATCTCCTTTCCACATAACCTATAAGATCGTAGATTTTAATTTGTATATTAAATAATAAGTTTGTTACAATTATTCTTCTCTTTCCTTAAACGAAAACAAAAAAATAACCTCCACTAGGATCTCTGGTCCCATTACAAGGCAACACTGTAAGAACATAACTACTAGAAGAAACCATTACTAATAAATGTAAAGGATTTGTATTTTGTATTAGTTTTAAAGGTTGTTATTCTATAAAACAAACAAATTAAAGATAATTGCTTAATTAATTATTCTAAATAGTTTTTCATGGTATGAGACAATTGTGATTTCATAAATATCATCTTCTACCTTGACCAAAAGACCTAATAATCTAAAAAAATTCTTCCTTCCTAGACTTTATCAAAAACACTATATCAATTTTAAAAATAAAACTTAATTCTGAATGATTCAGTATGTACATTATATATTTATTTTAAATTTACACTAATACTAAAAATATAAGTTAAACAAACCTGTCAGAAGAATCTGATATATAGTCAAGTTCTCTTCCTTCTTCATCACCATCATCACTTTCTTCAAAAGCAGATTCATCGGAACCTTTTTGTTTCTTTGTTTTGGGCTTTTCTCCTTTTTCTAAAAATACAATAGGAGTGATCAAAAAGTAAAATATTAAATAGCATGACGTTTATTTTTTTCCAAAATCAATAGGAAGTATTAAGTATTTGGATTTTAAGAACGACAGTTAGCTTAATCTGTTCAAGCTATTATAAGAAAGTAAGCATAAATAGAGAATATTAATAAAGATCCTTATTTAAAATATGTTATATCTAACTGTAATGCAGAATAACATTTTTAAAAAACAATAATAAATCAGCTCCCCCCGAATTCCAAAGCAGCTTTGGAGACATTGCTGAACGTAACTCACATTTGGATATAAAGTGAGGCATTATTAAGTGGTCTAAGACTAAAGCACATATCCTTACTCACCAAGATACCCTATCCCCAATTATAATACGACCAACAAAACAAAAAAAAAAAAAACTTTAAACAAATTTCTTAAAAACTGTTAATTACAATTTATTCTTTAAGTTGAAAAATAAAAAAAAGAAACTTCAACTTACTTTTTTTCTTCTTATCTTTTGCTTTCTTTTCTTTCTTTTCTTCATCTTCCTCACCTTCATTATTTGAACTTGATTCATCATCAGAATCAATCCAATCATCCATTTCAGAAATTTTCAAATCTGAAACAGAAGTTAAAGTTATTAAATACTGTTGTCATTAATGAGACAATTCCTTCAATAATAATATAAGAAAAAAGTTTTTGTTTTAAAAGATATTTTCACATTTCTTAGTTTAATAATTTGGCAAAATTATTACACTGATAGACATATTGGACAATTAGAATGCTAAAAGCAAAACCAAGATTTACTTAAAACGATCAAAACAATCAAAAAGAAAAAGTTAGTTACCATTTGATTTTTTCTTGCCCTTTTTAAGGTTTAATTCTTCTCCCTCTTCTCCATCTCCTTCTTCATCCTTTTTTAATCTCTTTCTCAACATAAGCGAAAAGAAATTCATTACTTTGTTTCTCCTAAAACGCAAAAAATATATGATTATTAATTTACAATATGTATTATGCAATAATAATTAAAAACTCTTTATGAAAATTTAAAGATTTATTAAGAAAACAAAATAATCAACTTTACGAAATAAAAATACAGAGACCACGAACTACAAGATCAAAGCTAGTAAAGTAATAAAGTAAGATAATATATAATAATGGTTGATGGAAAAGAATTAATAAGCTATTTCAAACATAAAACTTCTAATAACTTGCAGCATAATTTAAACAAAAATGGTTACACTGATTTGGAGGAAACTGAATGAATTGCGGTTGTAAATAGAATACTTGAATATAATGTTTGATTAAGAGACTGTTGTTAAAAAGATGAAAGGTCAACAAGAAGACAAAAGTGGTCATCAATATTTATCCTAATTTTGATATACTCTTCAGAATCATAGACTCTGACCAAGCAACACCAATCATGAATAAAAGCATTGAAAATGAGAATTCTTTGAATCGTTGAAGGAAGTAATCAAGTCTGAAAGACTACAATCATATTGAACCTCATCAAGCTAGCAAATTATGTAATAGAAGAGAATTGAATGAGTTGGCTAAGATAAAACATAGCAGAAGCATTATGAAGTTATTGAGTTGAAATATAGGAAAAAAATGATAGAACAGAGGGCAAATAGTGGAAGATCGGAACAGCTGTAAAGGATTCAAAAGACTTTCTCCTCATTGTCCATAAGCGGTTTACAGAGGCTTGAATGTGATGATGACAAGAAGTAACTAACAGATAGTTTTGAATAATAGAGGAACCATCTCAGTTAAAGCATTTTCAGAATATATCAGCTTTTCAGTTGACAGAATCACAAACTCCAATTTCAACATTTTTGAGAAAAGTCATTTTAGCGACATTTCTAGTTGGAAAATACTATGAATAAACTTTCCAACTAGAAATACCACTAAAATTAATAATAAAAAATATAGAAATTGGATTTAATCATTTTGTCAACAGAAATATTCTCATCTTCAAATTTTGGAATATGAATATTTTTGTATTTACAGAAAATCATAACGACACAGATGTGAATACAAATATATCATTAGTCATATTCATAGAAAACAAAATTGTGAATATATTCGTATGTATATAATGTGTAATATATACATCTATATTCTGAAGTTTCCATTTTTGGAATGTTTTTTATACCAACTATTAACAGTGATCTACATACTGCTTTTTGGTTTTTAATAATAATTATGAAACAGAATATAACAAATTTAAAACAAGCAAATAGTTCTGAAAATATGGTTACATTCAAATCAATTATTATTTTTTTACTAGCATAAAATCAATAACCTTCCGAATTCCTGTTCTGCTTCTTCTGCTGATAAAGCTTTGTATCTTTGAATGGGTTGGAAGTTGTACCATTCTGTGAGAGGGTATGCTTCGATACCACCATCTGCTGCGTGAGTAAATACGTAATAAGATGCATTTTCAGCTACACCTCCCTCTCTGATACCCTTAAACCTTAAAACAAAAAAGATTACACATGAATGATAATTAGTCAACAATATAAAATTTGCTAAAATAAATTTTACTTTATTTTAGTAATATTTTTTTTTTATTAATTTATTCATTAGAATTATTTTAGAACTCAGCAAAATTAATATTTTCTTTTCCTTTATAATAGGATAATCTATTTTTAAGACACGCTATATAACTGCAATACGTAGGTATAGGACATTATGTCAATTTGACAAGTTTAGCATCATTACAAATTTGTACAAAGCTAATATAAAAACAATAACATAAATATAATAATATAAAATTCTTGTGAAAATTTATCAGTAAAGGTGCAAGGGTTTTAAAACTATGAATATACCTAGTGCTGTCATAAATATTGTCAAGGAAATATATACAGATTTCAACAGAAAAATTAGTTTTTTCCAAAACATTATTAGAAAATAAAATGTATATCTATAGAGAGTAAAACAAAAAATAAATTATTCAAAATGTCCCCCATTTGCCTTGACACAGTCATTCAACCTCCTTGGCCGGTAATCAATAGTATTTATTGAGGCTTTCCAAGATAGGGTCTGGTCTGTGGCATGCCATCCTCTCCAGTTCGGTCCAAAGCTGATTATCTAGTGGATTGAGATCAGGGCTTCCTGATACACGGTGGGCCAGACCCCCTTACCGTGCACCCCCCCCCACATCCCTATAAATTGCATATCGTTGTGTTCCTTGTAACTATTTATTAAAAAAAAGCCAATGTTCCCACAAAAAAAAGTGAACGCACTGCCCCAAAATGGCGTCCAAAGATGGCGGATTGACGACTTTGACTTTAGTTAGTTTTTTGGTCACTGAGAATCAGCATTTGGCTTAATTTCCTCATAGTTGGTCTTTTATTAAAGCTGAATAGTTATAGAATAATAAAACATGAAGAAATATTAAAAAATAATTGGCTTAAGCTATGAAAAACACCAGTAAAGTCAATTTTTTTAATAAAAAAATTTTCAAGTTACAAATCAAGCGTCGTTTGTAATTAAACGGCCTACAATAACGCAAAACGGGCTCAAATAAACCATCTGGAGAATATATTTATCTTTCTAAAACGCTGATTATTTTTTACAAATGTTTAAGCAGTTTCGTAGAAAATGCACTTATGCGGCAGAAAAGCGGTACTGGCGTGGGTGCCTACAGGCCTCTACCACACCATTCAGTGCCCATAAATGGCTTAGTTATAGTGATATAATAACATTTTTGGTACATTATATTGGTTTAATTAACGAACAAATATTAATGCAATAATTTAAATGTAAAAAAAAAATTAAAATTAAAAAAAAAATTATTATTATTTTTTTTTTAATTTAACCTCCTTTATTCTGTACGTTGGTCGTTTAAGAAGACCTCAATTGTAAAAATGATATAATTATAATAATAAAAGTTAATTAAAAAATACTTTGCTAAATATCTTGATTTTTTTTTTATTTAACGTTTGCAATTGAACACTGTGTTTTGTATATTTACTGATTCTTAGAAGTAATTAAAATGTTTATATACTTCCCAGGAAATGAGTCATATTAATACCTTTTTTATAAACTAAAATAATATATACCTAATCTGAACTATATATAATGAATAGCTACCGGGTTGTTTAGTAAAACTCATATATCACTAATTAAAAAATTAATTTTTATTTCCTTTATTTTGTGCAGAAGTTGGGCTATATCATAAATAAATAGGAAATTTTAATATTGAATGAATTATTCTCTATGCACAAAGAAAGATAGAAGGGGTGATGCTATAAGTTCTTCTATAAACCAAAACTGATTGTTTGGATTTGATCTCAAAATGAGGAAAAACGCGAATAATACATTAAGGGAACGAGAAAGGAAGTACCAAAACCTCGGAATAGATAAAAAGGACCAGTATCCATTATATAGCTAAATGAATGTATAGTAAAGAGATGAACAGAATATTTCAAGATATCGAGAAAGTTATAGCTCATAGGTTTCCTTCTGTTTAGTGCATTTGCAAAAAATTTGTTAAGGAATCTAAAAGGAAAACGAGCTTTTCTTAAAGACAGTTCGATATTAGCATAATCCAAAGTGTGAGGCACTAAGAAGATAGAGAGCTATTTTTCTTTTTATGTGGACTTCTCTATAACCTGCCTTAAAGTGAAGACAGTCCCAATTTTCAACTTCTCTTCCAATGTGCAACTTAAGTTTCTCAATCCATATCAATCTGGCAATCGACAATATTTCTTATTCCATACAATATTGCTTCTACCATTCTTGAGTATAATTTGTTTGGTTCACTAAACAGGAATGGATCTTGATTGGTATTACGTTTCCTAGTACCTCCTTTCTTGTAAAGGTAAAAACCACAGTCCTTTTATGTTATTTTCTAATATGCTTGTTGCCTATGTATTGCAAAACTATCAAAGCAGTTCGGTTTCGCCCTTTCCATCTTTATTTGTGCAGAGAGAATAATACATTCAATATTAAAATTTCCTATTTTTTTTATGATATGGTACGAATTCCAAACAATTTATTCCGCAATTTCTGAACAATAACGAGCGATAACTAATATAAGATTCCTTAAAAAATCAGAAGGAAAGCTATGAGCTATAACTTTCTCGATATACCTCTCTATATCCTGCTTCAAAGTAAATATAGTCCCGATGTGCACCTTCAGCAATCGAAAATAAAGTGGTTTTCACCATAATAAACCTACATCGTCCACTTAATATCATCCAAACTGCAATTGATCCCGTTTTAGCAGCATCTTGAAATATTCTGTTCATCTCTCTACTATACATTCATTTAGCTATATAATGGGTACTGGTTCTTTTTATCTATTCCGAGGTTTTAGTACTTCCTTTCTCTTTCCCTTAATGTATTATTCGCGTTTTTCCTCATTTTGAGATCAAATCCAAACAATCAGTTTTGGTTTATAGAAGAACTTATAGCATCACCCCTTCTATCTTTCTTTGTGCATAGAGAATAATTCATTCAATATTAAAATTTCCTATTTATTTATGATATAGCCCAACTTCTGCACAAAATAAAGGAAATAAAAATTAATTTTTTAATTAGTGATATGTGAGTTTTACTAAACAACCCGGTAGCTATTCATTATATATAGTTCAGATTAGGTATATATTATTTTAGTTTATAAAAAAGGTATTAATATGACTCATTTCCTGGGAAGTATATAAACATTTTAATTACTTCTAAGAACCAGTAAATATACAAAACACAGTGTTCAATTGCAAACGTTAAATAAAAAAAAAAAATCAAGATATTTAGCAAAGTATTTTTTAATTAACTTTTATTATTATAATTATATCATTTTTACAATTGAGGTCTTCTTAAACGACCAACGTACGGAATAAAGGAGGTTAAATTAAAAAAAAAATAATAATAATTTTTTTTTTTTAATTTTAATTTTTTTTTTACATTTAAATTATTGCATTAATATTTTTTCGTTAATTAAACCAATATAATGTACCAAAAATGTTATTATATCACTATAACTAAGCCATTTATGGGCACTGAATGGTGTGGTAGAGGCCTGTAGGCACCCACGCCAGTACCGCTTTTCTGCCGCATAAGTGCATTTTCTACGAAACTGCTTAAACATTTGTAAAAAATAATCAGCGTTTTAGAAAGATAAATATATTCTGCAGATGGTTTATTTCAGCACGTTTTGCGTTATTGTAGGCCGTTTAATTACAAACGACGCTTGATTTGTAACTTGAAAATTTTTTTATTAAAAAAATTGACTTTACTGGTGTTTTTCATAGCTTAAGCCAATTATTTTTTAATATTTCTTCATGTTTTATTATTCTATAACTATTCAGCTTTAATAAAAGACCAACTATGAGGAAATTAAGCCAAATGCTGATTCTCAGTGACCAAAAAACTAACTAAAGTCAAAGTCGTCAATCCGCCATCTTTGGACGCCATTTTGGGGCAGTGCGTTCACTTTTTTTTGTGGGAACATTGGCTTGTTTTTAATAAATAGTTACAAGGAACACAATGATATGCAATTTATAGGGATGTGGGGGGGGGGGGGTGCACGGTAAGGGGGTCTGGCCCACAGACTATGAGGGCCAATCCAAGGCAGAGATCCCCATTTCCCAAGACATGATTTGTTGTTTTCGGATAGGATTTCTTCTAATTTGAGCAGCCACTATTCTCCACTGCATTTGCCGTTCTCACAGAGCGGGGATGGCATGGTCGAGGTCTGACACATACAGATAGGGTCTCATTATATCTATTTGTAGTGCAGTAAATGAACATACGGTTGATACCCAAATGTTTCAAAATGTTGAAAATCTCTGACCTTCATCTTCCAAGTTTGTGTAAGGCAATCACAGCTATTCGGTTTTCTTTATCACCTCACTCCATGTTAACTGAGCGAAAGAAAAATACAAACTAATTGGGAATATTATTCTGACATATAAAGAAAATAACCTGATAAGAGATAAGGATTATCTAAATAATATCCAAGGATGTAAACAAAGTTCAACTTTTATAACAGTATTCATGACAGAACTAGGTAGTTTCTCATATGAAGCTTTATGTAGCACATGCCAAGGAATTTTTTTCCTAGACTGTTTTTTTTTTAAATAATGTATACAGAAACAAATATTCCACATGAGTACAAAATGGGATTGATTATAATTTTTTATTTTAAAATAAATTTTGAAAGATCATAAAAGGAATTATTTAACTTAAAGTATATTGCATCGAAAATCAAATTTATTGAATAAAAATTAATATTAAAAATCATACTTCTTTCCAGTTTTCCCTCCGATTTTCAAAATCCAAGGCTGATCTTCAGGTTTGTATTTACGTGTAATAATACCATATTTCTTTCTCCTCGCTTCTTCTCTGGCTTCTCTACCATACTCACTACCAGCACCAAACCTAGAAAAATCATTCACATTTTACAATAATTGTATAAACTAAATTAGTAACTATAAAATGATTTTATTATAAAAATTTATATTACTTAGGTTGATCTTCATCAAGATTTCTAAATTCTTTGATATTATTTTCTCTCTCCATTCGAACTTGTGACCATTTTGTAAAATCAATATTTGATACGGGATTAAACCGCATTACATGAAACTTTTTCTTCACATTTCTATAACCATAAACATTTAATTAGGATTTCATTAGTGAAATTAATAAAATTTTATTTCAATGAGATAAACTTACTTGGGAACTCTGATAGAATATTCCTGCACCGATGGAGCAGAGCTCTGAAATGTAAAATAATGAATATCAGATAGGGAAAAAATAAATTTAAATTTCATACGAACAAACATATTCATCTGACACCATATTGTTTTAAAAAGACACATCCATTATGAAAACTGTCATGTTAAACTTCTGGAGCCCATCTTCTACTAGTACCACAGTATCTTTTAGCATAATCCTTGTTTTCAGTCTATTATTTCCATTCGACTTTTTAACTCATTGTCATGACCTTTTACTGAAGAATGCCTGGCACTAAAAAGGATGGCAATCAGTATAGGTCGACTTACAAAAGAGAGGTGTACCAGATTAACAAGGAACCAGAAGTGGTAAAATTTACAAGGAACTCAAGAGTACAGCGGGCTGGTCAAACCGAAAAAGTACACCATGACTTCCCACTTAAGACACTATGGTTTGGATATGAGGATATAAAAAAGGGACATTCATAACCGAGATGGAGAGAAGCCAATGCACAGAATTTTTTAACACTGGAGCTTGGCAGCACAAGATTGAGAGGAGTGGAGACAATGCCTTATGACTTGATGCGGCCAAGACCCGAACCCAATTTCAGTTCCTGTGACAATGATAGAATAAGAAGAAGATATGTGAATTATGGACTAAAAATAAGGGTAATATTTCACAAGTGTCCAGCCCAGATGGTGGACAGGGTAATGTCACTATGATCACACTGTACCTGTTCTGCCAAATGTAAACGAGGGAGGAGTTATCAGTTATTAATTAGTCCCTCAAATTTGTTTGTTAGTTAAAAGATAAAACCATGCATCAAGTATACGGTAGCAGGCTTGGTAGATCGAAGTTTGGTGAAATAAACCAAATTATTTTGTGTATAAATTTTGTATTGAGTGTACAAATATGGTCTGGATCAAAAAAGTATTGGCACTCTTCAATTTTTCTGCAAATCTCAACAAGATCAAGATATTTTCCAGAAAAAATATTTAATAACAAAGTGGGCTTTGAGAATTATATATTAGAAGCAATGAAGGTTCGGAATTCAAAAGCTATGTTTAAAGTAAATATAAAGAGTATATTTCGAGGGTCAAAAAAGTATTGGTACAGTTTTAAATGGTTAATATCAGCTATAGTCAACACAAATTAATATTTTTTCTTTCAAGCAATTAGAAATGAGGATTGACAGTAGTACAATGAAAATAATAAAAATCAGTCTTTGATGTATATTTTCTATAACAAGATGAGTAAAACCAGTTAATACTGTGTCAGTTTAAAAAAAACACATCATTCAATTACATTCTAATGGACTTAGCTACCGACAATTAGCGAATAAATTAGAAATTGGTTTTAGTAGTGTTAAAAATAATGTATGACAGTTTAAAAAGTTTTAAACATACCCTGTTCAAAGAGACTATAAAAATTTTATGAGAGGGCACAAAGGAATATCTATAGAATTGTTGAGCAAAATGATACTTTATCAGCCGCCGAGATAGAAGAAGAGGTCGCATTTACTTCAATTACCACCTTCTGTTAGAGGTATAATTCATAAATATTATTATTATGAAAGATTCTAAAGAAAAACGTTCTTTTACAGAGGTGAACCACAAAAAAAGACTTGAGTTTGTAAAATTTAACTTAATAAAGACCAAGAATTCTAGAAAAATGTTATCTTTTCTGATTAAAGTAAGTTTAACATATTCTATTCTAATTGCCACAAGTTCGTTTGGTGGAAATTTGACACTGAGTTTCAAACTTGACATGTGAGACCTCCAGTAAAACATCAAGGTGGAAGTGTCCAGGTTTGGGAAGGCATGTCATGGAATGGCATTAGAAACTTAACCTTTACTCACCATATTATGAATGGTGAACAATATGTCGACATATTTTAACAAGTAGAGCTGAAAATCTAAGAATCAAAGATTCATTTATCTTCCAACAGAACAATGACGCCAAGCACACAACAATTAAAACAAAAGAATGGATGCTGTACAATGTCCCCAGCAAGCAAGTTGAAAACACCACCAGAGTCTCCGGACATAAATGCCATAACACACCTATGGTGCCTGTTGGATTTGAAAAATAAAATTTCTATTAAAATTATTTATAACAAACTTTGTCAGAGGAATGGCGTAAAATTGGGCAAGACTAACTCAAAATTTTGTTTTATTGATACCAAGAAGATTCTAGGATGTCATTTAATTTTTTAGTGTGTTAATCTCATTTCCAAGATAATTTTTTATTTAAGTAAATTTAAATTTGTTTTACTATAATTATATATTTTTCTAAATCTTTATTGAATAAAAATGTTTAGCAAACCAATTTTGGATTCTTTTACAATGAAATCTGAAACATGTTAAGTGTACCAATACTTTTTTGATCCAAAGTAAAAAGTATCCAATTAGCAATTTCTGGTTGATGATCTACAATTGTTCATAAAAACAAATGAAGGATGTATACAATGCATCTGACTACCTGTGACATTCTATGTATAACATGATCTGGGTTCACCTATCAAACTTATAGAGTACTTATGAAGTATTACCAAAATAACTACGTCATAAATTTGATATTTTGAAAGATATACAATTTTTAATAAAACAAAGGCAAACATCATTCTTGCTAACTAATTTACTGTAACAAGACCCACACAATAATATCCATATATTTGAAACCATATGCTAACTAATTGTGTCAAAACTAAAAAAAGTGCTTTTCGTGTTCATAACTTAACGTACATCATTGAACAACTAAATTTAGGTCAAATAGAATCTCTGTCAAAACATTGTACCATATCGCAACTTCAAAACAGTCCATCCAGTTGATACGTGGTGTTTCAATAAAATTAAAGCAATAAATATTTGAAATATATATATATATATATATATATATAAGTTCTCAAGAATTAAATATTACATTAAGTCATTAACTAAGAAAACAGAACTGGACAACACTAGGAATTTAAAAGATAAAACACTTCGAAGATAAAAAAAAAAGGAACTATATGATTAATTATATACATTAATGTAAGATTATTCTACTAAATAATGTTAATAATGTTACTTACCGATTGGTTATTCATTTCAATTTTTTTAAATCCACTCTACCAAGTAGTATTTTTAGATTTTCATATATTTTCAATTATTATATCAATCGTACATATAATAAACAACTTATTACAAAGAAAACATATTAAGAAATATACATTCCTTTAAAACAGTCATAAGTAGAGCCAACACTAAACGGTACAATTTAATCAGGTTATGTTGTAAGGGAAACCTACTTACTTGAAATTGCAAAGAGCTAATGCATTGAACTAAGAGATCATAATCTGTGGGTTGCCAAAGAAAAATAATATAGTGTTCCCTTTAAACTATGTGATGGTCTATTTCTTTCCTTATTTCGATACAGTTGATTCGTACTCAGAAATCAGCTTTTCATAATAAATAATCTTTTTCCTCAAGTACAGTTATGCGATGTGAGATTATTGCTTGCAGAATCTGTACCTGATCTCTCTGTATAACTCTCTTTTATATCAATTTATGCCTCACTGCTCAAATTCCTCGGCTCGGTTAGGAAAGGCTTCCTGAACCGAAAAGAGGTGACTAAGGAAAAGAAGATGACGGTCTACAGATCAGTATTTCTTCCTATACTGACGTATTCTTCCGAGTCCTAGACACTTACTTCGAAGGAACCACATCCAGGCTCTAGAGATGCGATACCTGCGAAAGGTGGAGGCAAAGACTAGACGAGACAGACTTCGCAATACTAAAATCCGGGCCAATCTCGACGCCAAAGCGGTCGAAAGCATAATAGAAGAACATAAGTTGAGATGGTTTGGGCACCTTCTTCGTATGAATCGGAATAGAGTCGCAAGGGAGGCGTACGAGACTCGCGTGTATGGTAGGAGACCGAGAGGAAGACCCAGAATCTCCTGGAAAGAAGGCATGTGAGATGCATTCCAGAAGCGAGATTTAGAATGGAACAGGAGACGAAAGCTGGTCAATTATGCGATATGAGATTATCGCTTGCAGAATCTGGACCCAATCTCACTGTATAACTCTCTTTTATATCAATTTATGCCTCGCTTACCAAATTCCTCTGAAAACGTTTTCCCATCATATGAGGGGTCTATCTCTTGGTACCTATCCTTCCTAATATGAGGTTCTCATAGGTCCTCCTGAGGATTCTCTCATGTTCCATTCTAGGGAAGGATCAGAACCACTTTAGCATAGAACATAAAACAAGAGGAGGCTCCAGGATAATCTTGACCGGAATAACTTCGAGACTAGCCGGTATGGTTAGGTTCCCGATTTCATCCCGTCGGTCCTTAACTTCCATATTGGAAAGGTAGCATATCTTCATGGAGTGGCATAAGTGCCTCATGTGCTTCGAAGTGAGGGTCTACTATTCGGAATAGTACGAGAGAATAGTTATATGTTGATTTGTAGAATGGAATTCTATTTGTATGTTGGTTTTCTTAGCCACCTCTATTTTACCCAGGTAACTCCAACAACAACAAGTAGAATAAAAACTAACTTGCGATTGGATTGAAATAATGTTTTCTTTCAAATTCTAAATATTATAAAGCACCGTTATCAGATCAAGGAGTTAATTTTTTTTCCATAACGGTAATTACTCTGGAAGAAAAAGATGTTTAAGTAATCTTTGAAGGCTTGTTAAAAAAATAAAATAAAGACCTTTATTACAGGAACAATAATACTTTCAGGAGTTCTCTCTGAGGACGGGGATAAATGCCAGACTTAAAAGCAATTCCCAGTATCGGAAAACGAATTCGTAACCGGGCCATCTCGCCTCATAAGTATTTAGCTCAGATGATTCACAGAAGCAAATGCGGACCAATAAAAAACAAAACAAAAAAACAAAACATATATATTTCCATTTTGGGAAGCTTCAATCCGAAACTACTTCCTCACCTCTTTGTTTCTAATACGGATGAATCGATTTATAACTATAGTTTGTATTTACAAACAACACGATTTGTAAATACCACTTTTCAAATACAGTAAATGAATTGAAAAAAAATTTGTTTCTTCTGTCAGTTTTAGGAACGTGCCCTCCTGGGTTGTTTTACGCGTTTGATTTTTACTCATCTTGAGCAAATACTAATTATTATATAAGAAATACCAGCCATTTATCGCTCGGTTGAATAGAGCTCGAACATTTGACACACTTGAGTGCTCAGTTTTGAAAACGCTGCCGATTACGTTAATTTCTGTTATGGCTTATAACTTTACTGGGTGTAATGTAACTTTTGTGATAATTGCAGAGGTTTACCTATCAATTGAATAGAATCTCAAAACCTAAACGATTTGAATCCACATTTTAATTAATCCATGAGGGTATCGGTAGTTCTACATTCATCCGTTGAATAAATATGTCATTACCTCCAAGTCAAAATTAGCACTTAAAAATTAATGCTGTCATTATTTTTTTACCTTGGTGTTTTAACCTTCTTCTTGAATCAGACAGGTTGTTTCTATTCAATTTAATTCGCTGTATCTGACTGATTGAATTTATCAATCGTTGGATTCTATTCATGTAATAAATGTTGAATTCAGGAATTTACCCTTTAATAACTTCAGCCTGATGGATGTCCCACAATGCACTAATGATGTTGGTAAAATATCGATTTATCAACATTCAAATTCGACAATCCAAACCGATACTTATTAGAAAAAAAAATTCAAACAAACAAAATAAAAACTTAAAAATGTTTTAAGAAAACCTGCTTTACTGCTCATATAAAAATGAGATTTTTGGCGAATATTATATAATACGTGAGAAATATTGATTTTATAATTTATTATTTTTAATAATGAAAATGTAAATTATGGGTGATAAATATTCAGGACGCAGTCAGTCATTTAAAAAAAAAAAAATTAAATTTTTTATTTATGCCAACGTTTCAACCCGAACATATGGGTGGGTCATCTTCAGGTCATGGTTTGAGCACTGAGGGTGTTCAAGTACTGACGAGATTTTTTTTTTTTCTAAATACTGCGTCCTGAATATTTATCACTCATGATATGTAGAACAGTCGACTAACTTCCTTCAATAATTCGAAAATTAAATTCTTCTTATGTTTCGGACATTTTTGGTTTTCTTGATTTTTTTTGTTGAGAAAAATAATTCATTTTTCTGTGGTTCTTAGTAATGTATTTTTAATAATAATTATTAATATTTTTATAGGTCTTTAGTAATTTATTTAATGTGATATATCTCATCTTCAATGTCGATTTTTGGATGTAGCTTCTCACTTAGACATACAATCGTACATTTGAAGGATAATATTGCTCCCATCCCTTTCTTTTAACACATGGCGCATTTTTTTGATTTACTAATCATTTGTTAAATTGGCAATCGTGAGTTGATTTGGAAAGAATCCAAAATCAATCTGGCTCTCCTGAATATGTAATAATTCCAAAAAAAATGGTCAAAAGATAGCATTCATTCATTAATATACAAAATAATCTACACGCAACGATGAATAATAGTTAATATGCAATAAATCGTGGTAAAAACAAAACAAAAAACACTACAGTTGTGTTTTGATACATAGAACGTGAATTTATTTAACATAAATTATTACAATAAAAAAACAAAAAAGGGAGATGACCTTTATTAAAACAATAAACATGGCACCTTACATATATCTTAGTTCCAGCTTACAACCATAATGAAAAATAATAACATATGTTCAATGCCATTAATACATATCTTTAGTAAATACTACATTTGTCCAAACATTAATTTAGTCAAGTAAATATTAGCGAAATAAATAATTGCTTGATATTCCAATCTTTAGAAAACGTGGAATATGTATAAAATTTTAACTGGGTAAAACATTATTTCTTATGCTTTTCAATAATGTATTTTATTCAAATTTATAAAAAGGATATATGTGAAAAAGTTAAATGTATAGTTACTAGAAAATAACTATAAGTATCCTTAAAAATAATAATAATAATTGAACTCAGCCATACTACACTTATATTAGGAATAGTTTTTAACAAATGTCTATGTGATCAACGATATTATTTGACATTATTATCTAATTATCTAAGTCTCCAATAATATCTAGAATTCAGTGAATACTTATGAAATTTAAGAGCAATGAAGAATAAAATAAGATCGTCTCAAAACGAAATTTAGATTAATATAATAATTATTAGTAACGATTTTATTAAATAACGTCGATCACATTGCCATTTGTTTACAAATTTATAATGATATTACATGAATCTTAAGTTATGTGAAACTTTCATTCATACAACATACAGATAATAAATAAATAAAATAACAAACTTAACATCAAAATTTTAATTTTATTCATTTGGGTTCAGCTGTTAAGAGATCACACATGAAGGATGATTATTTAATATGTAAATACGCAAAATTATACTCACCATAAATAATCCATATTAACATGTTTTTTTTATGAGATGAAGCTCTTACAGCTTTCATCAAATGAAATCTATTAAAATTATATAATTATAAGTCGTTAAAGATAAGAATTTTTTAAAATAACAATTAAATATTTTCTTTTGGGTATAGTAACAATAATTGTCTATCACAGTCCTAATTCCAAAACCTCATAACATCATTTTCAAAGTAATGTTTTGAGTAATCTTGAAGTTTGATGCATTTTTAACGGCTCTGTTCTAATATTATTTGCCTCATTCGTAAGCTCTAACAATTTAATTTAATTTAAATAAATTTACCTATAATAGGATACCTCTCGACGTCGATCTTACTCTAATTAAGAGATCGTTTACGAAACTTTGACTGAGGTAAGATTGATGTTTTCTCTAACAATGCCCTCTAGTTTAGAATCTCCCAAAACATCTCTGTCTGTTTTATCAAGGGTATTTTGGTATTATCTTTTATTAATTCATTGTTTCTACAAGTTTTGGTTTGGTTTGGTTCTCCTCAGCAATCGACCACTTTCTTGACAGTTCCGTTAACTTAACAACAACGTTGGATTTGCTCCCTTCTGCAAAATCCTACCGCCATCCGAAAAATCCTTGTTATATCTTCTTCCTCCTCCACGCCTACCATATTATAAGATCACATACTATTGAGATCTTCTAATATATTTTAATTACATCAAGAGGGATTTATTATAATTCATAGTTTTCGAAGTACAGTTTTGCTTCTTAAATTACCAATAATGCATCAAAGTTGAATATTAACTCAAATATTTACTTTATGCAAAAATTTAGTTAGGAAGTTTTGGAATTAGGTTCCTGATTGAGTCATTTATAACTTCTTACATGCTATTATCAAACATTTTTTAAAATTCTATTTAATATCACAAATATAGATTTATTAAAACTACGTCAATATTTATTTACATAAAACAAGAAAAACGCCATCAACAGAAGTTACACAAATCATCTAATCATTACAGTATGTAAGACAAAATGACTTATATTACTGTAAACGAAACTAGTTTTGATTAGGAGAATGAGGCATACCATCATCCTGTATACATCTCATGAATGTATAATTAGGTTTATGAGTATTCCAAACTACACTCTGCAGAACATTAAGAATTAGTTTCCATGTGGAAACTAATGTGGATACTTAGGAAGCAGCTTCTGCTTCAGCTTCTTTCCTAGTTGGTTTTTTTGGTTCAAATATAGCTTCTATTTCTTCAAGTGTTTTCCCTTTGGTTTCTGGCAATAGAAAGTACACAAAAATACAACCAACAAAAGAACAGCCTGCATACATCCAAAATGCTCCTTCACTCCCTATGACTGTTACTGTGTCAGGGTATGTCTTTATGACAACAAACATAGAGCCAAGATTGGCTGCTCCCGAAACCGAGCTGAGTAAGCTTCTCTGTGCAGAAGGTAGCAGTTCTCCCATCAAGATGAAGGGTACATTGCTGAAACCTACAGAGAATCCAGCAATAAACAGCATCTGGCTGATGAGAGGGAGGCTGCCCAAACCGAACGCTCTTCCCCTCTCATGGAGATAGAAGTAATAGCCCAGAGCTATCATTGATACCACCATGATGACACCAGACCACATTAACAGTGGTTTCCTCCCGAACCGATCAATTATAAAAATTGAAAAGATTGTTGCTAAAAGTTGGACAACTCCAACAACGATAGTTGCTTCATACTCTCCTATATCACTCCCACTAGCTTGAAATATGCTGACTGTATAGAATATAATGGTATCTATGCCTGAAATTTGTTGAAATACGAGAATAGCCAAAACAATTCCAAATGGAACCAAAACTGATTTCTTAAATAACTCTGAAGGTGAATATGGTCCTCTAAGTTTTGTTTTTGAGTGCTTTATGTTGTTTTCTTTCGGCGTCGGAAGGGCTGGAGGTTTCGGAACTTCTGTGACTGTAAAGAGTTCGATTTGAGGAGCAGTTGGTTGAAGATGCAGCCAATCCATAGCTGCATCGGCGGCTTTGTTTTTCCCTCTGCTGCGAAGCCAAGCGGGAGACTCTGGCAGGGGAATGAGAAGAAGCAGGAGAGCGGTTGGGAAGGCAGCAGAGACCAAAGCGAGCCTGTACCAGGTGAAGAAGTAGCCGAGGAGGTAGGCAACTAGGATACCTGCAGCCATGAAGATAGCAGGGAGGGTTCCAAGTCTTCCCCGAATTCTCGGGTGAGAGCATTCACTCACCTGCAACATTAAGATTTGAGGTATAACAGATGTCCATGTATAAAACCTAGTTTATGGTAAAAAAAATTTAAGTGAAGAAAATATATTTTTTGTCATTTGTGTTGAAGAAAGTGATATTGGTATGGCAAATAAGCCTTTTCGGTTTTTCTTTTCCTATGGTATTTTTGTTATCTGACGAATTACTTCATATTGGTTTCAATGTTATGAAGTATTTCTTGAATTGGTTGGTTAGGCTTGTGGAAATGCAGGAATTTAGATATCCTAAAATATGTTTCGAAAAGCTAAGAACCGAATATTACCAACCTAATTCTGTTCTTTCGAAATATAATTGGTGTGCTCAGCTGAAACTAGTGTTTGAGATACTATAGAGGAAGGCGATTTAGTTAATGAAACTTACCCAGTCATATCTTGAGCTAATATTAACAGGATATTAAACAAATCTAAACGACATTTGCATGGGGTTGATAGGAAAGCATAGCTGAGCTTACAATGAAATTTGAACCTTTTTATAAACAAAGGTAGAATCTCCCAGTACCTGTTGATGCAGGCTAAGTTCAAATATATTACAATATTAATGCAGATCCGCCTCTCGGGAAAATACTTGATTAAAATTTCAATCAACAATCAAATCTTAAAAATCAATCAATACAATGGAAAAAGAAACATCTTATCATTTATTATTTAAATGCCCAATAAAAATAAGGCCTTTTTGGACTTACGGAGTTGAGCTATGGGGCTCCACCAAACCTTCAAATTCCTCTCGCATCCAATCCTTACAATCCAAAATCCTTCGTAAAATCCTCAATACTCTCTACTTTGTTACAAATAGAATCATCCATAATGACCTTAATGTTCCTTATGTATCAGATTTGGCCCAATCCAGATATCTGTCTTTCCATAATAAACTTCATAACCATCCCAACCCTCTTATTTCTAACCTTGCCTCCTATTCAATTCCTGTTAATCCTCCGAGGCGTCTGAAAAGAAGATGCCCACGTGATCTCCTAATATAGACATATTATTAGAGTGCTACCAATGGGTAGTTTCTCAACATGTGTTTCATGTCTTTATATCCACGTGCAAATTTACCAGATGTATTTTTTTTATACAGTTGTAAATATCAAATAAATAAATAAAAACAAAAAAATGCCCAATAAATAATAATTTGAGGGTAAGAACTTACCAGGATATGGGGATGAGATCGAAATATTCAAGCCAACCACTAAAGAAGATATGAAAATATTTTTTTATCTCTAATATACGTAATTATAGGGAATTAGTGGGGTAATCTAAAACATTGTCCTCTGAGTATTGTAATAAAAATGAATTGTAATTCAATAAGATTAATAATGTTTATAATATCGAGATAGACTCTATTGGTATTCTTCCCTGAAAACGAATAAAGATTAAAAAAATAAATAAATTCCTGGGATGGATTGATTGGATCCTCTTTATATTGTATATATCTATAAACATTTCTCTAAAATCTTGTTATAATTATATCAGTATTGAGGTTGCTATTACACTGTGAATATGAAAGAAAATTCAATTATTATCGGTATATTTTGCTAAAATATTTTACAAAAGGTAAATGTACCAAAGAATTTCGTAACAAAAATGCAGCCTTTATGGGATTAACGCCTTAACTGAAAGCATGTATCAAAAATGTTTTACTAAATTACGTTCAGAATGTTTACATAGATGATGATCCACGGTCTGGTGGCCTACAAGAAATGGAAACGACTATTAGGGTTATTGTTGATCAAAATCCCCAATCAATGCGAAAGATTGCTATATCCTTAGATGTATCCAGAAGTAGAAGGGTGGGGACGTGTTATACTGAATAATGGACAGTAAGTTGTAGATTAAAATAGACCTTATATTTCTATAGTATACCAATTTATCTCATTTCACCCTGAAAAACCGAAAGAATTTATTTGTCAACCCAATACAAAACGACTGTTACTAAGAAAATATAAAGCACAACCACAATTTGCTTCAAGTTATAGTATTTATTTTCTCATTTTTTTTTTATCAGCTGTTCTTATCCATTTTTGCGGATCGCCGAATTATGAGATGGAAGTCTGATAGTAAATTTTCTACTGGTTATTGGTCAAAGCCAACACCTTTCCCATTGAACTATAAATCGACATTGGCAGATTTCAAATTGACTATTTTGTTAGCATCATATCTTTAGAATTAACTATACATATTTGTATAATCAACGATTTTAAAGAAAAATCATTTTTGACATTAAAATGCGTTTAAACCATTACCTTTCTGAAATAGCCCAGTCAAATTAGCACAAAAAAAGTGGCCTGCCTTTCAAAATATCGGGTAGTTAAAACTTATTTTTTATATTATTAGGTGTATGGTGAATCTACATTACAATTTTTGTATTCACTTTTAGAAAGTTTAAAATTTGCTCACATCGATGTAAGATTTTTTTTTTTCAAACCCATCAGAAAACAAGCTTTCAAAATGAGAGAAGTTTTGAAAATTTGAAAAAAAAAAAAATTTCTAAAGTAGCATAAAAATGTTTATATTAAATATTAAAATTGACAATATTTACTGAAACTGTTATAGACTTTTTTCTAAACATGACAGCTTAATTGCAGATCGCTAAAAGTAAATTAATATTTTGAAGTTTGGAAAACTTTATACTAAAAATCATTATCTATTTGTTTACGATTTTATAGTTATTTTTATAAACTATTCTTTATGGAATAATATTACATTTTGTCACAATTCAGGACATCAGTGATAGTAATAGAGCAGCTCATTTAAACTTAAGAAAAAGATAAATAAATAAAATTAATATGTAGTAGATTTTGTACACTTCAATATTCAATGTGAAGATATTTTGCTACGAAAAAACATATTCAGCAAAAAATAAAAATATATGCTTGCTTTTTACGAGTTTTTGAAAATTTACCAGTTTTGAAAGCTCGATAGTTCGTTTCCTGTTGGATTTAGAAAAAAAAGGTTATATATATAAATGTTAGATAATTTTAAGTTGTTTAAGATTGAATATGACTATTTATTAGCTATAACGCCCTAAAAATGAGATATTTAGTGAAAACAAAAAAAGTCCAAAATTTCAGTGGTTTTTGGAGCACTGCGGCGAACACTTTCGAGGGGAAATACTTTTATGTTCACTACATACAATGTAAAAAAGAAAATTAACTACCCGACCTTTTGCAAGATAACATGTCTAATTTGACTGGGCTAAAAGAGACCGGATCTTATTTGTAAGGCAATCTATCCAGAGATCAAAGACTTGAGTTCCAGCTAAAAGGAATATAGGAATTCTGATGACGCTTTCTATCGTTTATTCAATCTAAATAATGGGTGACATCCGCCGAGAGATTGATAGGTGCCTTGCAGATTATTAAATGAGAGGAAGAATTAAAGGGATGAGGTTAGCTTTAATTTTAATCACATCTCCAGAACAATAGATCTGCACATTGAAATTCTTTATTCCAATTAAACCAATAACCAAGAATTGGAATTTTCAAAGATTCATTAAACTGTTTCTGATTAAGTTTTTAACTCAAACCAAATTTAAAACTTACTGAACTAGGTGACTTGCTTTGTTCTTGTTTTGAATGGAATTGAATCAAAATAACAATAAATAATAATCAAAAAGTATATAAAATAAATAAAATAAAATAACCTAAAAATAAGAAATTAAAACTAAGCAAAAAACACATGCATACCTATACACACTATTTTTGAAAAATTAGAAACGTTAGATTATTGGCCTAAAAGGTCACTTTAAAACCCTTTTTTTTCTTTTTTTTTTACTCAAACCTATGACATCTCTTTTAACTGAGTCCAAGAACAGCAAAATTAATATAATTTTTCAAATTTGAGATATGAAATGAAGCAATTTCTAGGTGTTTCAATTTTTACTTATCTTTTGAGGAAAAATGGACGAAACCATTGAGTATGTGTCTTTTTGTCTCTGTAAGAACATTAGAAATTTGTTTTATCGAAATAGGCGACGGTACATCTTGCACATCAAAAATTTTAAAAAATGCATGGACTTCATTTGTAACATAATTGCCATAACAAGTTTTGAAAAATTAGAAACGTTAGATTATTGGTCAAAATCTCCTTTATTATCTTTTGAAGAAAATTGGACCAAAGTATTGAGTATGTGTCTTTTGGTCCCTATAAAATAGTTAGAAATTGGTTTTATCGAAATCTCACACATCATGCACATCAAAAATTTAAAAAAATGCATGGACTTCATTTGTACTATCATTGCCATATTAATTTTTGAAAAATTAGAAACGTTAGATTATTGGCCAAAAAGCCCACTTTAACACCTATATTTTTATTATTATTTTTTTTTGTTTACACAAACCTACGAAATCTCTTTTATATGAGTCCAAGAACAGCAAAATCAAATAAATAAAAATTTACTTAAAAACGAAACGCAATCTTGTGCTTTTAAACATTTTAAAGAATTGAAAACAGCAACATAATTTTTCAAACTTTAGATATGAAATGAAGCGATTTCTTGGTGTTTCAATTTTTTCTCATCTTTTGAGGAAAATTTGATGAAACTATTGAGTATGTGTCTTTTTGTCTCTGTAAAATCATTTTATTTTATTTTATTTTTTTTTTATTGAGAAATAATACATTTTGCCACATTTAAGGGCACTGAGTACTAAAGCTGAGTGAGGCCCATTCAATGCAATAAAAAATAAATAAAATACAAATAAATAAATAAAAAATATAAATATATATCTATATAACAAAGGTAAAAACTATAAAACTAAAAAATGTAACTTGAAATCAAATTTAAAAAAAAAATAATAATAATAAAAAAAAAAACAGAAATTGATAGCAAATTAAATAAGTCATAAGTAAAACAAATAAATATATAAAAAAGAAAAACATTCATACTTAATATATAAAAAAGAAAAACATTCATACTTAATATATAAAAAAGAAAAGCATTCATACTTAATTTATATTATTTACAATCAGGCAAGGGAGCTCCAGCCCTTTCCTCCACGTGTGAAGGACAAAGCGAGACTCTAAGAGATCCCAGCGCTTATCTCTTTGCCGTGTCACCGGCAGTAAAATCATTAGAAATTTGTTTTTATCGAAATCGGCGACGGACACATCTCGCATATCAAAAATTTTAAAAAATCCATGGACTTCATTTGTAATTACCAAACAAATGAATATTTGATTTTAAGATGTTCTAAAGTATTTGAAAAATAATCTCTTTTATTGTTCTCTTAAGTTTAGGGATTTATATAAAAAGTTGAAAATTCAATATCAAATATCTCAGAACTACATTTTACTTTTTCTCGATAATTATGCATGTATGTAATAAAACATATATTTTTTTGTTGTGAGTTCTTCAAACTATGATAATTTTGAACTGAACGAAGTACTTATGAATTCAGGATTTCATTTTGGGCATTTTTTTTTCTAACTGTTTATATGCTATGCTTTAAAAAGATTACATATTATGATTGTTTAGCTCAGAATAATCACAAAAGCAAATATCGTCCAATTAAAAAAAATAATAATTCTATTTTGGGGAGTTTCAGCCGGAAAGTACTTTCTCGCCGCTTCCCCGTACTATTTGCTACTGCAAGTGGGGTTATAGTGGGGTATGGTCTTCAATGGGACAAATATTAAAGTATTTTTGTAGCTGAAAATCTATTTCAGAGTAGAGTCCAGAGCTCCATCTTTACAATTCGAGGCTAGCAATCCAGGCAATGCGAAACGCATTTCTTCTATAATTTCGTCAATACTGCTCTGAAAGAATATTTCAAAGGAAAATTTCCTATGCGAATAGAATAGACATCGTATTTAAGTGGATTAAAGAAAGCATGTTGAGAAAACCATGAATTTTAGAAGGTTTTTTTTGGTTTGCTAAGGTTTGAATTGAAAGGTATCAAGAGGTATTTTAATCAGAAACCAAAATAAAGACAACCTTGCTCTGGATCCTAGTGCGAGATTACTTTGTCTTCCACCCAACCCAGCCTTATAGAGAATACGGGTGTTTGCTAAAGTAGGATGTTGAGCCTGACTCCGCAAAAACGCACTTCAGCAAGTTTAACAGTTAAGCCATACGCATTATTTTCCTATCTAAGGTTATATTCAAAGGACTAAGTTTCCGGAATCCGTTGGTCTTCTCGACGCTGCTTATCTTCTTCTTCGGACTGCAATGTAAAAGTGGCCTGGACCCACCATTGTCTTCCACCCATGAATGAAATCCACCAACCTAGGAAACTACTCACAGTAAGGACGTAAATTTCCGTCTTTCTCATCATTCCTTTATCTATCGTATGCCGTGCAGGTAATGATCACATGCACAACAATCTCCGGTACAATACAAGTGGGGCATTGGGGATTTATGTCCTAGCCTAGTCTGTGTAGCTTGGTTCGAAAACCTCCATGTCGTGAATGAATTGTGAAACTCAATAGTTCCAGGAGGAGGACTCATAATGCTTGTAGCTGAGATTTGAGAGTTGTTGAAGAATACTAATGGATTGCAGGGAAGGGAATTATATTGAAGAAAACAAAAACACCATAGGTATTCTTGAGTCTTGGTGATATCGTCTCATGTTTTTATCTCCGTTTGACTAGCCAATCCTTTAACTGCTTGTTCTAAGAAAAGTCTAATCCTCAAAGTTTTCTTTAAAATATATATATTGTTTTGCTGTATTTTCTTCAATTCTTTAAATGTCATACTTACATACGAGTACATAAGATGTACTTACATATACTTGTGCCGAAGGAAGGATGAGGCCCACACAGAAGCCGCAGGCTGCCCTGGCAGTGACGAGGTAGGCAGTGGTGGGGGAGAAGGCGACGGCAGCCCAGGCCAGGGCGAAGAGAGGCGCCGCGATGAGGAGGGCTCCCTTACGGCCCAGGTTCTGCATGAGGGGCCCGGCCGCAAGGGAGCCGCACAGGGCGCCCAGTGGGGGCACAGCCGCTGCAACATCAAATGACATCTCTTTAATATATATCAATTAGATTAATGCATTATAACTTAACAGTCTCGAGACTAGTAACGCCGCACAATGGGGCATGATAACGCTACTGTTAGACATAGGGAGAAAAAACAAGTTAAAATTAGGACGTTTGACTGCATTAGTGACAAACTAATATCGCTTCCCTATCATGCCCAGCAATTTTTAACTTAATTATCGCATTAATAATGCCCAAAGGTGGAGTAATAAGAGATGGAATCAGTGTTGCAACGCGCTCTGTGACAAAACCTCGTACTGAAGCCTCGTACATCCTCGTACGCTTGCTCATTCATAACTCTTACTATTATTAGCCCATTGTTATTGTTGTTTTTTTTATAGTAAAATTAGATCACAGCTTATTTTTACCTCTATTCATATATTTTGAAGCCTTTTTACATTACTTTTTTTTAAGTTAATGGTTCAAGAAGTGAAATTAGCTTAATAAAATATATAAAAAAGTTTATATATTTTTAAAAATTACTCGAAACTTTATATAAAAATTCAAATAGCAAAATAAACTTCTTAAAGTACTCTTCATCAGTAATTCATTAGTAGATCCAAGATTTAATTTGAGGGATGACTAATTTTTTTTTTTTTCTAAAAACAAAACAACTACTTTTATGAAAGGATGTTAGTGCTTCTGGAAGGCAATAAAAATTAATTATTGGGGCATGAATGCTTTTAGAGATATCCATTATAATATAAAAAATGAATAGATTGCGATTGTTTCACTATTTATCTTACAATTAGATCTCGACAAACAAATGTGGACCACTAAAAAAAATAATTTTTTTTCCATTATTTAAGATGGGTTCATTATGAATACTAGTTAATTACTTTAATCGATTAAAAATCAAAAACATTTTTTTTTAAATTACGGTAATAATTTTTTTTTTTAATTTAATTTATCTAGAATATATTTACAATTCAAGTTTTATGAAGGAAATAATAATTCCGAAGGAAATAATGGATATACTTTCTTGTAATTTAGTTTATGCTCGGCAAAAATTTCTTTTTAATTTTCTTTTAAAGCACATTTTAAAAAATTTATATTTAGAAAAAAAGTTTTATGAAGGGAATAATGGATATAGTTTCTTATATTTTATTTTATAATGCATAAAATCTAATTTTTTTTTAAAATTTTATTTTCTAGAAAATTAAAAAAAAACATACCTATACAATCATGGTTTTATGAAGGAAATAATAATCATACTCTGATTAAAGAAGATATAATTACAATTTATTTGTCTAGAAAGCAACAGAAGATCAGTATTTCATATCAATATAAATAATAATACAGTAAAAATAATTGTAAAACTAAAAATTCTAAACTTCATTCATAAAAATATAACCTTGCATTGCATACGTCAGCAAAAGTAATTGTACGAGGCTGGTCTATCCACGTACCTCGTACAAATACTAGGATTCTCGTACAAACGGCAACACTGGATGGAATTAACACCATCTTTTTTATATTAACAGCTGGTTTGCTAGAACGTATAATGTCACTGATGTAAGCGAAAAATCGAAAAAAATTAAACTTTTTGAATCCTAAATTCAAATTTTTGACTTGAAATCCACGGATATGGGTTGACTGACTATTATTTCATGTGCTCCCGGACTATTGAACAAATAGATAAATAAAAAAACAATGTATCTTTAACACGAAACGTTATTATTGACTACAATTAATTAACCTAATGCCATATAATAAGTCAAGGCTGTACCTACATATCCATGAAACAGCATCTGGGTTGGGGACCAGCTCTGGCGAGATCTCCATCATCGAGGGCACCGCCGGGGAGGAGAACCCCCGCACCAGCCCGATCGTCAGGTAGCCCAAGGAAGCGCAGCTCGCCAATATCAGCTGCAACCGGAGCCGAAAATTAAATTATTTTTTTTATATTATATAATATTAATAACTAAACAATATAATACAGAAATGAGTTAATGATATGTACTATGAGATAGAAGCTATTTCCTTTTTCTCAGTCGAATCGCACTAGTTCATTTAAAATAATAAACCAAAATTATATACCTACTATAAGCTACATAATTGTTAATAATGATCCGATTTGTAGAGTATCTTTAATTAACCACAGGTCTTGACGCTTAAAACGCCTAAGTCCCTGCTCACGCACTCTACGCCCTCTTTTGGACCATTCATTGACTTGACTAGAAACAAATTATCTTCTAAAATTTCTATATTAGACACTTCTGTCGGTCGTTAGAAAGTGGATTTTGAATTTCGTCTGCCAGTGCAACGTTTCTCTCCTGATTTCGACATTTTTTGCATCTAAAGTATATTCAATTTCACATACTCTTGAAGCAAATCATCTTCAAAAAGTTCAATATCGGACGAATAAAATGAGAATTCTGAATTTTATCTGCCAATGCAATGCCGCATGCCAACGGCAGACAACGTTCATTTATAGTTTTGGGGTGTGTATTTTCATGTAGGCTTGAAAAAAATCGTAGTCAAATAATGCAATTGTCACTCGACTGTGAATGCTAGTGAAAATTGAATGCTCAAGATGGACATTACATTGATGTGTGACTGAAAATTTTCTTTTAAAAAGACACGAAATTTAGCCTCGGCTTTTGGACTACGATAGGCACTTAGAATTTGTTCTATCTATATAACATGTCTCTCACCCTTCTAAAGTTTTATGCTAATTTTAAATATCGAATTAAAGTGGAAAAGTTCACAAACATGTCCCTGAATTTTGATTATGTTTTATTTAAAGAACATTGGAAAAAAATATATTTTAGAAATAATATTTCTTATAAAAAGTCTTGATGTTCTACCAAATCTGAAATATGCATTCATATTTTCAAACATATATATTCATTTACTACTAAAAACTGGACAAAGAAAAGAAACTCTCTTTCTTAAATTTTCTCATGGACGTTTTTTTTTTGCAAAATATATATATTTTTTTAATTTGAAGCATAAAATATTTCAATAGGAAAAATGGTAAATAAAAAAATATATACATAAGCTCAAGAAAGAAAAGTTACTTCAAGAAAAAGATAACCTTTTATTAGTTATTTTTCCTAATTCTCTAAATATTATTGTTTTATATCGAAACCTCAAACGGAAATAAACACATTCAATATAGGAGCTATTCAAGCGTCTTACAATTAATAAAATTATTTTTCCAAGATAACTTTAGTTACGAAGCTGTTAAGTTTGGTTTGAAAGTATACCTAGTTTCTAAGACATAGGCCTCCCCAAACTCAGGGTTTTCTTACCTCTTTCACCGAACGTCGACAGGTTCCTGTAAACGAGTCTTATGAAATATCGTAAAGGTCTTTACGTTACTTCACCTATCGAAACCATTCACAGAGAGAAAACATTTGCTAACAACTTTCGATGCGCCCCCTTTAACCAAGGATGTGGAATAATATGACTAAATACTGACAATAAAATAGCTAAAACTTTCTATCTTGAGTTAAAAAAATAAATTTGTCAGCAGAATTCTTTCGTTCATTAAAAATATCCAGATATACTTGATGATTGATAGTAAACAACACTGCAAAAATGATTAAAAATAGAATTATACAGCAAAATATTCCACAATAATTATGGTGTGCGTAGATACTGACTTTCATAAAAACAAAACTAATTAAAACATTTAACGTTAATACCTTTAAAATTTGACCTAGTTCCCCATTACCTCAATAGACTAAGTTTAGCGATCTCCTCACTGAAAATGCCCCATTTCCAAAAATGTTCGTAAGAAAATTGTAAGCAAAAGTAAAATTAGGACATTTACGAACCGTAAGTAAGACATTTACGGGTCATAAGAAATTGGTTTTTTATCTATGTGATAATGTGGTTGAATAAAAAATAAGTTGATATTGCCAAATGTAATGGTAGGTTAAAAGTTCAGAAAGGTGGAGGAAATTAAAATATTCTTATATCTGATAAATACATAAGTTTTTTCCCACCCATTAACTGGGTGGAAACCTTTTTTAAACGATTTAAACTGTTTGCTATAGTGCTGAAAATGAGGTAACGTCACTAATCTTCATCATATTTTGATCTAATAGTCAAAACTAAATTTTTAAAATCTGGAACATAGGCGAATCCAGGGGACTATAGGGTACAACTGCCCTCTTCCTATCAATGTGAAAAGCATTAAAAATAAAATAACTGTGAATATAAAAAACGAATTTAAGTAAATATAAAAAATTAATACCAGCAAAAAATTAGTCATTATATATATTTCTTGTTTATTATTAATGAAAGTTACAACTGCATAAAAATAAGTATACACCCAATAAATGTGAGAAATAGAAATACAATGGCATAAAAAGACAAGTAGAGAATCTACCCATTGGTAGTATTCTAATGAAGTATCTAAATTAGGAGATCACGAGGCCATTTTCTTTTCAGACTTCAGGGGTTCTAAAGTTTATTATGGAAGATTAGGTATCTGGATTGTGACAAATCGGAAACATATGGCACATTAATGTCGTTTTGGAATATTTTACTTGTAACAAAGTGAGGAGCATTGAGGATTTTACAAAGGATTTTGGATTGTAAGGATTGGATACGAGAGGAATTCGATGGTTTAGTCCAGGCCCCAAATATCAACTCCTTAATTCCAAACAGGTCTTATTATAGTCATGTATGTGAGACGTTTGTAATTAATTGGAAGCTTAGAGGGTTTGCCGAGTAAGTGCTGAAGTAATCGGAAACGTCGAGCGGTTTCTTCTTTCAGTCTGTGGTGCAAGGATTCCTACTTAGATGTTTTTCTAGGTGGAGTCCTAGATATCAGATTTGTTCGACAGTGATAAGTGGGGTTTTGTTAAAGGATACTGTGCATCAGGAAATCATCGGTTTGAAACGAAAGGCAAAGGTAATTTGATGGGATTTATTGGAATTTAATTTTAATTCTGCAGTTTTGACATAACAAACCATTCTTCGAAGTTTTTGATGTGGGATTGAAGAGTTTGGGATGCAATTGATAGGACACATGTGTCATCGGCATAGTAGTCATTATATTTATGAGTTTACTTCAACATTCTGAAAAAAATTAATTACAAAATATTGATTTATTTCTCTACCCTTAAATTTACTTCCTCTTCTTTTAAATACGTCTCCCTTCTGGTTATGCGCTTGATTAATAGTTGATGTGGGGTGATGGTCAATGGAAAAGAGATTATTATTGTTCTTGCTCAGAACAATTGTTTATATTATATTTGACACGAATTAAACTATTCGTTACGCTTAGATCGAGATGTGCTGTGGTGCTATGTAATCTTGGAGCTTCTGGGTAATATTGCGTTCTGTGTACTGTAATACGATAGACAACTAAATTACTCTCCGCAAAATGTGGCAAATTATTCAGTTTCAGTGAAATATCCATAAAAACCATTTACATTACGCAATAAAGTTATTTATACGCAATAAACAATAACCCGGTAAATTTTAGTACTGAATCTAATGAGATTTCTTCCGAGATGATTTTACCTCTTCTGAAGGTTAAGTGTAGAATAATTACAGGTTAAAAAGGTGGAATGATTTAGGAAATTATAATTTTAAGCTGAATAGTCACATAACAGCTATATCCTTAGCCATAATATAGAAAAATAATTTCATCCAAATAAAAATTAATTTGTAACTTTTGATTAAAAGATGAATAAATCATAAAATAGAAAAAAACATTTTTTTTTTTTTTGAAATGGATGCTTCAAAAAAACAAATTTATAATAATTAATTTTATATATATTAGCTTATATAATAAAATATATAAAACAGAATCCTCATCCAAGGATATATTTCTTTCAAAAATGTTTTAACTACGGCTATTAAATATTGCCTCACTCAATGATAAATAAGAAATTTTAATGTCACTCAACTATTATAGTCCATTGAACTAGATTTTGATTAGTTACACTTAAAATTTATGAGAGTTAATTTTTTAAAAATTTAATAAGAATTGGCAGATATGGAAAAAAATCATACCAGGCTGGAATAAAACGGAACATATTCCTAAATAAGTATATTATATTTTCATGTTTCCTCCATGCCCTTTGCATTCCTTCGTTTCAGAAAATGCCTAATTGTAAATATAAAATACTTGTGAAGTCAGAGGCTGTAGTCAGCGAGAAACATAAATAAAATTTTATTATATTTCGTGCCGACGTTTTGGTCTAAATTTCAGGCTTTCATTAGAAAATACCACATAACAACCAAGCAAATAATTGAAAAATATAATAAAAATATATGAAAACCAAATATGTCTTTTCTGCTAACAAATAAATTGTAAAAAGTAAATAAAAATGATTTAATTAATAACATAATTGATAAAAAAATTAACAGCATCAATCGTAGTTACTACAAGTGCATAGTATTCTGATTTACAATGACAGAAGCATTAAAGTTGTTCGTGACTGTAACATCATGATTTTTTGCAATAAACCGATGATATATTTTGTTTTCAAATCTTTTTATCCCCGTGATCTCCTAATGTAGTCATATCATTAGAGTGCTACCATTGGGTAGTTACTCAGCTAGTTACTAAGTGTATTCATGTCATTATATCAATTATGTCCAAATTTACTTGATGTATTTATGTAATACAGTTGTAAATGTCATAAAGAAATTTTAAAAAAAAATCTTTTTATAATAGATTTTTTGGTTATATTGCCTTTCATAAGTTCTGATGAAGGAAAACCTGAAACTTAGGCTAAAAAAAAACATTAAATTCATGTGGGAAAATTCCTTTGCCACAATACTTATTAGTCTAATTTTAAAACCTTTATATTGTAAATAATAACATTTTATTCACAGCCATATTATTAATTCATCCTATTTTTAATATTTTCATTAAAAAACATTATTTTTGTTTATATTCCTCAATATTAATTTTTAAATTAAATAAAAA